TTGAAACTTTCCATTTCCATTTTGCAAATTCTTGATAACTAATCAAGTAGACTTCTAATTAAATCTGTTATAATAATAAATCAGTATCAGAATACTTACTCTATTAATAGATTTTGGAACCTTCTGCTTTTGATAAGGAGTAAGGCACAAGAATTTGACATATAACCTTTGACCCCCATCATGAGAAAGGAAACAATTTGATTCTTTAGATTTGCAGTGTTCAACATTGCTAGACAAATACGAGCAGCAGTTATTGGCATATAAAATGGTGATCATTTCTGTTCCTAAAGAATTCATTAAAGTCATCATTTATTGAGTGTTTTTGTATTACAGAGGACTTAACATCATGGCATTTGCCTCTTTTATATGCAATACAAACACAAAGGACCTGTTTTTTGTAAAACTTTTTGGAAGGAAATAACCAACATTAAACACTGGCAAAGATGGCATCATCACTTCCAAAATGTTCAACATATACAAGGATGATACAAAAGCTAGATTCATAAAAAATACATGAAGGAAAAATATTTTGAGGCATGAAAGAAAGAGAATTTGATGAATTGGAAGGGGAAAAAAAAGAGAATGATTTTTAAATGCTTTCATTAAATATTCCATTTTTGGAAAATTATTTTAAAAGTTCTGAAAACAGCAGAAAATTAGAAAATGAACAACATTATTTGTTTCCTGTCAGATATAGTTCATTTGGTCTCCACTCCCTCTACTCCTCTTTTTACAATCCTTAATTGCGATAAGGATCTATCTTGACAAAGAAAAAAGGAAAAAGTTGGCTGGGGAGGAGAATTGTTTTCTTAATATATTCTCTTCATATGAAGTCAAGTGATATGATTTCAGAGGAAAGGAATTCATTTTGTGTCTAATAACTAATCAACTTGACCTTATCATCACTAAGATTAGAAGGAACTGCTGTTCTCTTATGACAGCAATATGTTGTCATATCCACTTTATTTGCCTATAATCTATTAGTTGGTTTTCTGGTCTAAGCACGTTGCAAACAAATCCAATTGATATTATTTGTCTTGTCGTTTCACATTGCTTTTGTCTCCACGGCACCTGGGGCAATACCATTTGCCTTTTGGTTTGGAAGTAAGATTGACACAGCTGAAATGGAACCATTCAATTGGGCAGAGGTCATTATCACAACCAATCATCTCTCCATAAGACACCTGATTGCAATCACAATATGTTGGTTCATCTGGATCAATAGGAGGATCAATTGGTGATTTTTCACTTTCTTTTTCTTTCTTGGTTTTCCTTTTCTTCTTCTTTTTTGATACACGATCTTTCTCTTCCTATAAATAAAAATAAAAATATCATAAAAATGAATCATATTGAAATAATTGTCATAACAGTAAGAACTGACGAGTGAAAATTAATCACTTAGATTAAACATTATACAGTCAAAATTCATTTTAATAACTGCATCAGGCTATATGCTTATTGAAGAATTCATTCATATATATATATATATATATATATATATATATATATATATATATATATATATATATATATATATATGAGCTACCTCCCCACAAAAAAATTTTTAGTTTTAATACCAAATTCATAGATTAAATTTAATATTTACAATAAGCAAAATAGTTTGCTGTATTTCAAAAAAAATATAAATTGATCGGAATTATTTTTTTTTTATAAGTAAAATCACTAAAATCATCCATATTGACAAATCTATCAACACAGCATAATTTTCATTATTAAAAAAAAATCCTTCAAAAACAAAATGTACTTTTCTGAAACTTTATTTGAGCAGGATTAACTAATTTAAAGTTTCATTAATCTAATTTGAAACAAATATTACTTTTAGTTTACAATATTGAAGGAAAGCATTTTTTTTTTACCATGGAGATGGATGTTTTTATGGGGTTGATTTGATTTGTTTGTTTAATGAGACAACAATTCCTTATGGGTCATTTAATGCCAAAATTTAATTTTCTTGCGAGCTTTGAAGTAATAAAAATATGATATATGTTATTCTTCTTTTACAATTGAATACATGGTGGATGATACTCAGCTTTTGTGCATAGGCATATTTGTGGGAACATAATTACTATAGGCAGTGATGTGTGTGTTTATGTTATAGTTTTGTTGAAGTTATATTTTGGAATACAGTTTGATTTCTTTAAAAAAAACTATAGAATATTATATAGATTAATGTCATGAAAGAGTTTTTTTTATATTGATTGATGTATTGTTGGTAATTTTTTTTATATAAAAATTTGTTGCTGGTATTTTTTCTATAAAAATATATTTTTATAGGGCTTTTTTTTTGTTTGGGAGGTTCAAGCAATCATAGCCGGAACCCTAAAAGGTGCCACAACTCCAGGACAGGGTGGACCTGAGAAAAACAGCAATTAAGTATTGGTTCCACACTCCTCAACCCCCCTCCCCCAATCTCCTAGTCAGAGGCCTTGCTATCAGATGTAGTTTATTGTCACATCCAGGACTATTTTATGAACTGTTGATACATCTATTGATAACCTGATTTTTTGAGATTCATGTAAAAGGGAAATAATTATAGTCAAATTATGATGAATACAATCTGTGTGTGTGTGTGTGTGTGTATATATATATATATATATATATATATATATATAAGTCTAGGTCAATTTTGGAAATGTAAAAAAAAAAAAAAAATAACTTTAGGGAAGTTGCAAAATAATGTCAAAAATTACCACAAAAATATTTTTCTTCAAAACTTTGTATTTATTGGAGGAATCGAACTTAAAGAAAAAATAAATTGCAATTTTTATCATTTATATCAGTGTCATTGCGGAAACATGTGTAGGTTAAATTAAAACAGAGTCTTAACAAAAAAGAAAATACACTTAATAATGGATATTTTTAAGTTTAGTATCTATTCTCTTAATAAATGAAATTAGCAAAAATAAAAAAAAATAAAACACACTAAAATATTTAGTTTGAAATACAAATAACTACTTACGAATGCCATCTTATTTACTGGATATTTCTTCGGTATTTACTGGTAGTAATTACCTCCTCCTGTAAATTCATTTTATTTTTGTTTACGCTTTTAACTAGCACAAATATCTATTATCATCAAAATATACTTAACTATTAAAAAAAAAAAATACAACTTTTATAATCATTGTAATTTGTTTATATTTTCAAAGTTAGCGTATTTTATTAAAAAGCCTGTTTATGAGCTAATCTTGGAACTAACTCTACTTTTAGGTAACTAAACATTACTTTTAATTTAATAATGTATTTCAAACTTTATTTTCAAATTTATTTTGAAAAATATTTTTGTGTAATTTCTGATAATACATATATTTTCTTTTTCAGATATTTTAATAGAAATGGCAGGAAAAAGCATCCCAAAGGCCTTAGAGCCGTATCAAAATTCCACGGTATGCTATTCAGTTGATCAAGGGTGATGTATCATCTAATCTTGGATCCAAGTCTTGCCAATGCCTTGCTCTTGGATTTTAGGGCTATGTGCCTTTTTATCCCCAATATAAAAGATATCTATATAGATAAATGTAAAATTGACAGAGAAAAGGCTAAAGTGAAAACAAATGTCCATCAAAAGCATGATGAAAAAGTGGAAAATCTTTGTATTGGAGTTGATGGGAGAACTAACAAAGACACACTAATGTACAAGGAAATAGTAGAGGAAAATGGAGAGAAAACTGAAAAAAACCAAGAGACCAGAACGCCATTTGACTGTCACAAAGGAGATGACATATGAAAGTGAATATCTGACACAGGGTTCTTCCAAATATTGGTGCAACTGGTGCTGTTCTTGCCAAGCAAGTGGCTGATGTTTTGCATGAATTCAAAAATGTGAGCACTATCAAGGCTATCCTTGTTGACAACACTAATGCCAATTCAGGCTGTGAAGGTGGATTTGTCGCACTTCTAGAAAGAAAACTTAACAGAAATCTTCACACAATTGGTTGCTCCTTGCACCAAAATAAACTTTCATTTAGAGCTCTTTTTAATCATGTACCACAAAAAGCCCTACCACATTCAATGGTCCACTGGGTAAATTATGTGCAAGAGATCACCATAATTTACCCCAAATATAACTTTCAGCTGTTGGTAGTCCTCTGGATTCTATTTTTAAAATTGAAAATTCAGATACCCTTAGTTGTGACCAAAAACTCATTTATGAATATACAGTGGGTATTTCTAGAGGTAAGATGGACTCTATATTTGCATCATGGAAAATTGGTCCATTAAACCAGGCAAGGTGGTTAACTTTAGCCATTGGGCTGATTTTTTTATGTACTCATGGTGCATACCCACAAAATCTTTCAACTAAACTTCACAGTTCTATAAATTTTATTGTGAATGTGTATGTCATTTGCTGGTTCAAAATTAAAAGAAATAACAAGTTCCACAATTAGCAAATGTATATTTTCAATATGATCCAAAGGACTAGGAAGCAACCATATGAAATCCAACAGATCACATCGAAAAATATACAATACTGCCTGAAAATATCTTATATTCAATGGTCAAATCTGATGAACTGGAAGTGAGGGAAGAAACTATAAAAAGAATTTTGGTCATTAGGTAAGTATTTATTCATATAAATCTGACTAAATTAGTTATGCCAATTTATTGAATCATTTTATGGATTTTATCTAATTTCACCATATATATTAAAGCAGTACAGAGTGCATTATTTTTTTTTTTTTTTAAATAACTCAAATTAATTTTTATATTCTTTCAGGAGTGGGGAGCCAGCCAAGAAAAGATTAAAAAGGATGATAACTATCAATTTTAAAGTTATGCACTGGGCACAGTTAATAGATCTGTCATTAAGTGGAGTTTGTGAACTTACTCTCACAGAAGAATTTTCTGAAAATGAACTTCAGGAATCATTATTAAATGATATGAAGCTTGAGTTGCCAGATTTGCCCTCACATTCTCAAGGAGCAGTCAAGTTAACAACAGAAGCTTCCCAATCTTGTATAGCTTTGAAGCAAGACACCAGCACATAATAGCAAAAGTTTTGTTGAGACCATCATTTTTGTCTAAGGGCTCTTATATGGAGCTATTTGACTATATATTAAGATCTATTAAACTATTATTTGTTTTTCCATATTTGTTTGTCATATTTTCATTCATAATAGAAAAAAAATCATTTTTTTAATGTTTTCAACTATTACTGCTTAATTCATGAGGTAAAAACAACAGCATTTTGAAGTCATCACTGATAAGGTGGAGGCAGATTTTCAATTTGAAATTTAGTTATAATTTCTTCATTTTATTTCATTTTGATAAAATAACAACATTCCCTGATTTAAATACTGAAATTGTTTGGTTTTCTCACCAATATTTAGGCCAAATCTTGCAAAATTGAGGATTTTTCAGTGCATTTTTGTCTATGATCTTTGATGCCAAATGCTCAAAAAAATATTGAATTGTCAGATCTAATTTTTTATATCAGTACATAATAGGTCCATACACAAAAAAAGTGAGGTACATTATTCTTTTGATATTTAAAAAAAAAAAATTCAAAATCAAATCAATATATATATATATATATATATATATATATATATATATATGTGTGTGTTATTAACTACCCAGTAATTTTTTAAAAAAATTAATATTTTAAGCACTCCAATATTTTATTGAATTTTAGGCTTTATAGTCCTACTTAGAAAGACCAATGTTGCAGAAAAGTTAGAAAATTACCAATAAATTTTAAAATTTACTATAGTTATCACTGTTATTTTCTGATAATGTTGTGCATGAAATCCATATTTACAAAAATCGGCACTTTTATATACAGACTAAAAAAATTCAAAATTCTTTTTAAAATACTGAGGAGGGGGGTATTGAATTAATAAAATTTTCTATTTATGATTAGCAAATATCGTTTTTTTTAATAACAATATCAACTGACCTCTACAAATTAATACAGAAATTTAAAAAAGTTGAAAGTTTATAAATTATTTTAAGCCAATAGTGTCCATAATGTATATTATTCATAAAAGTAATTAAAAGTATTTCTAATTAAATAATTTCTTATTTTTATTTCATTTTTTAATTCAAAGCAGAATTTTTTTTACAAAAAAATTTTTTTATGATTTTAAATTCTCCTAGTACTTGCCCTTATAACTAATAAAAACATCATCTTAGGGGTTTGCTTACTTTTGCACAGCACTGTGTGTGTATATATTACAAAATCTTGTTTGCATATAAAATTTGAATCAAAGTTTGCAGCCAAAATAAAAACCTAAATAATTTTGGCTTTTCAATAATATAGAAAATTTTTTAAAAATATTTTATACTTATTATTTTATTTTTTCAGCCTCTGCCCTGAATAAAAAATTTGTCTGAAGGTTTGTTTTTTGTTGTTTTTAGACAAAGCATTCTATATATTGTATTGCTTTATTTTTCACACTATTTCTCATCTTAACAAGATGAGAAGTAATCTAGTTTCATTAAAGAAGAAAACTTAGAAAAGAAAATTTAAAATTACCTTTTTGTCTTCATCTTTACTTATGTCATGTGTTTTTTGTCTCCGTTGTCGTTTACTGCCAGTTTTTTCATTTCTATCATTTTCTTGTTTTACTTTGGTATTAGAAGAAAAATCTTCTTTGTCATTATCTTTGCCCAAAGTTGGATCTAAAAAATGATAATCATTTGCTTCATTATAAAAGAAGGTCTGTTTCAATTTTTATTTTCTATTTAATTAAGTTACTATCAGAAAAAGTAATTTTATTCAGTTAAACCAGCCAAAAGAATCTATATTATAGAATACATTTTATAAGGTTCATTTGCCTTGGCTGAAAATATCTCAGCCTAATCAAAAAAGAGATTAAAATTTTTTTATTTTGTCATTTGATCAAATTTTTGAAACACTGTTGAGTTTTGATTTTTTTTCAATCATCATAAAATAGAATCAGAAAGTATTTTGACAATAGCTCAAAAATAACAGGTTTGTTTTAAAAAATGAAGATATTTACATTTCAACAAAAGACAATCTTAATTTGATTTGCTATAAGAAAAATATTAATAAAATCTAAATGTATAAAATTTAATTTATACAATCTGCAAAATAAATATTTCTTCAGTATCTGTAAATAGTGTAAATATTTATTGTAAATCACATGGGTGATTTTTGTGGAGTAAATTCATAATATTTCCTTCCATTTTAAGAAATTCTAGAAAAAGATGAAAAAAAAAAAAAAAAAAACAGCAAAACTCACCAAGGTTTTCCAAATCTTGCTCTAGTTGTCGAGATCGATTTTCTATGAGGTCAATGATGAAAGATAACATGTTGAGTTTTTCATCTCCAATTTCTTGGAATTTTAGCAAAGCACGTTGGAAGATTATATAAGATTTTCGCTTGGCTTGACCTTCTGCTTCATTCATACACAAATGATGACGATCAATGTCTTGCATGATTTCTGAGAGAAAAAAAATTTAAAGAGTAAATATATTGAGACAAAGGAAAAATATGTCCACCATGAATCAAAGTTAAAAATCATGAAAGTTATTTGAATAGATCTCATTCTTTTTTTCTTTTTTTTTTTTATATTAAAAATGGTTAAAATAAGGTTGGTAAACAATGAGAAAAGAAATAAAATAAGTGACAATAGTTCATATAAAAATTACAGAAACTATCAAAAGATTAAATTAAAATGTTTTTGTTTGTTTTTTTTTTTTTTTTTTAATTTCTTTCAGAAAGAAAGAATAAAACAATTAAAAAGTAACCACAATTACAATAAAATTAATACCACCAAAGAGATTTCAGAAAATAATTCCAAGAGATTCCAGAGATTCCTCTAACATTCTAACTAGTTCTCAGATTTCTTAGATGAAATGCTGTCATGAGCATTCATTTCTGATCCACAACTGTTGCAGAATAACAATATTAAAAAGCAATAGAAATAAGATTTTAAAAAATTGTTAAAAATCAATAATTATATCCAATACATTGATGCTGTGATATGAAAATATTATATTCTACCATACCAACACAATATATTTTCAAATTAATTTTTTTCCCCCCAAGAAGAAAACTCATGGTGTTTAGAAAGTGGATGGTAATTATTGCTTAACATATCTTCTAATGGTACTCAGTAGTAAGAATAATGGTGACAAAAAAAACAAACTATTTAGTAAACATTTTGATTTCTATCTTCATACAAAAACTAATCAACAGACTTTTATTTTTACTGACAAACATGTTCTATCTTAAAAGGTTTGATTGAAAAGTTCATAAGCTAAGATGAACTTTATTAGGAGAAATTTTCTTATGCTAAAAACACTTAGTGCAATTCTGAAATGTGTAGATCCAGGAGGTGGGGGCCGACAGATATTAAAGACTATATCAGAAATATCATTAACATTTGAATAACATATATGAAGCAAGTTCAAATTTGGATGAAGTAATTTAGGTTAACCTCATACTAATGTTATCAAAAGGCATGAATATATTTTCCCCTAATTGGTTAGGTCAGGAATCACATCCTGCTGATCCCCCACTCCAAGCTATATGTAAGTAGCAGAGTAGTTGGATTTCTAGGAAGTAGACCACTTCAGAGAAAAAGAAAATAAAAGCTACAGCTTAGCAACTGCATTGGTTATCTCAAACAAGCTGATCTCCACTTCAAACAACTAGAGCAGGCAAGAGAAGGAGCTTGTAGAAGATTGGTAGACAATTCCACCATGATCCTTACAGACAAGGAATGAACCAACAAAAACAACTGATCACCAAGTACTTTTCAGGTAGGAAAAAGATGCAATTTAAACTGTTTATCAGGATAATTAGAATAGCAGTACTAAGTTTTAAACTACAGCCATGGAACGTGTCATCAGAAGATACTTTATGCCTAAAGAAACTAACACAATTTTGATAAATAAAAAAATTTTGTTCAAAATAATTGACCAATAGTTTTGGTACTTTCTTTAATCATTTCACTCCAAGCCACGTAGATGCAGGGGGTTACTGAGTGTGAAAGAATATAAGAAAAAAAATTATTAAGGAGCAAGAACAATAAAAGAACAGAAGAAAATGACTGATATTGCATTTAAATTTTTGAAGATAAAAATTGACTAGAAAGCAAAATGCTGGAAGAGAGTTCCACAAGCAAGAAAAGAAACTGTTAGCATAGAACCTATGGTTACATTTAGCCATTTCAACTGTAAAATGATGAGATCTTACTGCTAATCTAGTACTGCAATTAAATTCACAGCATCTAGGTACCATAGAGGAAAGTTCATGAGAACAATTACCATGAAAATATTTATAGAAAAGGCTCAGGGAAGCTACATTACTACAGTGGAAATGTGACTGAAGCTGAGAGTGCCAGATTATTTGGATTTTATCAAGAATCTTTAAATATATAGCAGGAGCACCAGACCATGTGTGTCAACAATATTCAAAGCATGGATGAATGGTAGACTTATAAATATGTAAGATAGATTCATGCAGGAAAAATTGTCTAACATGACACTGTGAACCAACATTCCTAACCAACATTCCTGGTAGCAGAACTAGCCATTGATTCAATTTTATCTTTCTAATTCATGTCAGCAAGAAGGCACAATGTATCACTAGTTAGCATCAGCCATGCTGATGGACAGCAGAAAGCATTCTCTCAGATGATTGAGAGCAGTTTTGTTTTGCAGGTGTTAAAATTAACAAACCATTCCTTGTCCCAGTTAGCAACAGATGGTAGGTCATTTTTTTTTAGATCAGTTGCCAATTTGATCTTATCAAAACAATCAATTTTACTATTAAGACAGGAATAAATAGTTGTGTCATCAGCATTGAATTGAGAACTAATGACAAGAAGGTCGTTCAAAAATTTGTCCAGAAATACCATAACCTTTCAACTTGTGTGAAGAAAACCAGTATACCAAACCCTGTCAAATGCCTTTAAGATATCCAAAGCAACAGCCTGAGCTTCATTATTCTTATCCACAACTTGATAAACTCTTTCAGTAATAGTTATTAATATTTCAGTCGCTAATCTAGAAAAGTGAAAGCCATATTGCTTATCTGAAAGAAGTTTCTATAAGGTGAGATGCTTAATCAAGCTATTGATTAGAGACTCTAGTACTTTACCAAAAAGAGGTAAATGGCTAACAGGCCAATAGAAGGATCAGATGGTTCACTTGAGTTCTTAAAGACTAGAACTACAGAAGAGGATTTCCAGCAAACAAGAAAGCATTGTAGAGTTTAGAGAGAAATTCAGGAGCACATTTCTTAAAGACTATTGCAGCGATACATACCATCAAGACCACATGCTTTGTAAGAATTCATTTTAAAGATGATAACAGAAATCATGGACAGAGTTATATGCATATCACTCAATAGAGACTCAGTCCTGAGTGGAAAGTCAGACAAAGATAATCCTGATGAGTCAAGAGTAGAATTTGAAGAGAATTTATGAGTAAGACATTCTTCTTTATCAGCAGATGTTAACACTTGCTAATTGAATGAAGAGAGGAGGGACAGAAGACTTACTCTTATTTAAGACACTATTACAGACCCACCAGTTGCCATGAGAGTCAAATTTGTTAGAGGCTAAACACTGCTTCATTCTATCAGCAAACAAAGGTCTCTATAAGGACACATTTACAGTTGTTACAAGCAAATACAAATAAGCATCTGTTGTGATTAGAACTATAACACTGGATCACCTGGAATAAGTGGATCTGCTTTATCCAAGCTGCATAGTATTTTCATGTGATTGTATTGCACTAAAAGACAACCAACTACCTTCTTATTTTTTTCTCTTGGTAAATACAGTGTTTTCTTTATGACTAAAGGTTTAAACTCTGGATAAATCTAACTTTTATAAATCACTTTATGCAGCCAGATTATGTCTGAATAATGTCTGAATTTAAATTTAAAAAAAATATTTATGCTTAAAATTTATCCATCTTTGCAATGATGTACAAGCTTCATAATATAAGGATGGAATAAAATAAAGGTTTTGGACCATAAATTTCAAAACAATGTAATTTGGCTGAATCACAACTAAGGATATAGGAGCCAAAAAACTACTGATAGGCTTTTTTCTTTTTGCCTGACCCACATTTAGGGGAATAAATTTTTCACGATTACAGAAACACGGACGGAATCGCAAAATTATTAATCTTAAATGGAATCTGGGTTTTTAATGTAATTTTCAATAAAAAAATAACAAATTAATTATTAGATTTTTAATTCTTTCAAAACTTAATAACTGCCTCTCTGATTTTGTTAAACATTTTAATATAACAAAAACATAGTTATTTCCTTAAAATTTGTTTTTACAAATCTTTGTAGATATTTTCCTTATAAAATCCCCAAAATAAGAACAAAAATGTTTACATAAAAAAAAGAAAAGAAAAGTGGGTTGTCAATTTTTTGAGAATATGTTGGCTATTTCTAAATATTTTATAACTTTTCTACGAAACTGTATATTGCAAACCGCAAACGAGATGAAAATCAGTATGCCACAGCTTAAAATGTAGGCCACCAAAATCCATTACTGGAAGACAGATACTCGTTGATGTCAAGAGAGAGAGAGAGATGAAGATCAAACCAATAAATTTAAGAAATTCATTTCCTTTAGGCCTCACACAATTTACAAGTAAAAGTTTCTAAACAACTTGTAAGCTTGTTTCATGAATATGAAAAAATGCTATCATGTGCCTACCATACAATTTAGAAATAACGAAAAAACAATTCTCCAAAAACATCATTCTATGAAATGACTGGCTTGTCTAAGTGATTCTCCCAGATTAATAATTGCATCATCTTCAGTGCTTCACCATTGTAAACAAATTTAAACTGAACAAAAAAAAAATCCTTTAATAACATTAACTGTCAATGATTATTTTTTAATATTTTATTTATATTTTGTAATCTAAACCAGTTGTATGAATAAACAATAAATTTCCAAGATGACTGAATCTTGAAGTAGTGAATCAACCTCAAAAGTTAGGCCCTCTAGAAAAAAAAAAAAAACATTTGTGCTAGAGCCAGAATAGAGCAATTTCCTGATAACATTTTATGCAGAAGAAAATGTTATTTTGCAAATTCTGGATCTATAGTATTAATTCCCAAATTAAGAAATTAGCAATTTTAAATTTGAGCAGTATTTCAACTTGGGAGAAATTGTTTTATTTAAATTTTGAATTAATATGTCTAATTTGTTTTTTGATATTTTTTTACAAAGATCCAATTATGGTTTAATTACAGTTTTGTAAAATTTTAGTCAAAATGTTTGACTTTATTCAGATATTTATTATTGAGATTCAAATTATTTGCTGTTGATACTTTAAATGTGATTTTTATATTATGAATCAATAATTATAAATCAGTCTAAATACTTTTACTTAAAAAAACAAAAACAATTTGAATGTGTGTTTGAACATGTTCTTAAGAATGAAGCTCTGATTAAAAGTTCTACCTCAAATATAATTATGCATTGTAACATTCCATTGTTTTATTGTCTAGTTATGTAACATTTTTTTATTTTTACATATGATTTATTTTTGGACTTGGATTTTAACATTTAAAAAAAATATTTATAGATATTTGTTATTTCTTTATATGCAATAAAACTTTGAATTATGTTTTTGTTTTCAGTTTTAATAATAATTATAGCAGATTGTATTGCAATTTTATCATAAAATACTATAAAAATGGAAAAAATGAAATTTCCCAAAAGTAGAAACAGAATCAAGGAAAATTTTAAACAGAAAACCAGGGGCTGTAGACTGATACACACCTGTTGGTACATAGGTACATGTAAGGCCCAGTAAATGTGTTAAATCTGTCGAGGGTAGGTCCAATACAGCTGAAGGCCCCCAAAAAGTACATGTTTAGTGTGAAAGGAACTCAATTCCCCACTGTATCAGTTGCTGCTCAGTAGTTTTGCAGTCAAGGACTTGTGTTATCTTGTAATACTGCTGATTAAATGTTTTCAGTTTTGAGGCATCAGTTCCAAATCATAATATGATTGTCATGATGGTCTAGTTAGGTTACAAAAGGCTGTAACAGATTAATATTACAGAATTGCCAAGTGGTCAGGAAGATCTTTGGTGGAGGGGGGGATTTAGTTTTGTGAAGGTTGAGTGAGGAGAAAATATCAACCAAAATAAAGCCATCTTTTGAATATCACACAGAAAACACATTTCAAACTATGCAAGCTTTTAGTAATCAATCAAATTATCTACATTTTCTTTACTTTCTTTGTACCAAATATCTTTAATTTTTCATAGAGGTTACTCTTAGCTTTGCTTGCAACACCTGAGTTGTTCGTTTCTGAATGTATATCCATGGCTGTCCTCAATTCTTCATAATCAAATAACAACTTGCAACCATAACAAGGCTCATCTTGGAAATCCAAATTACTGGAAATTAATCTGGAATGTAGTGGAAGTGTAAGGTAGGATGAACTGCCAGCTACCTTAGTGTGTTGTGTATGCAGGAGAGGATGGCCAGCGCACAAAACATCCGCTTGCAAAAATTATGGTCACAGTGGTGGGCTGAGCAGTGCCTAGAATTTGTTTATGCAAATGATTGGTGTCTTGCATGGCAAGATATGTACAAAATTTTGTGGTGGACTTTTGACTGTAGCCCGAGTTACACAGGTTTTATGGAGTTGGGCCAAATTCCAAATAGCTGATTTTGGTATTTGCCATTATATGCTAACATTTTCATATCCCCATATATGTTCAAGTTGTATATTTGTTATACAACAAATAGACTTTTATATGAAAAATGAAATAATAAAAATAATTTAAAAAGTGCAATGAATTAATGTCAAGATAAAATAATATGAACATATACAACAAATGGTGCTAACAATTTTTGGTGAGATGGTACACTAAATGACCTTTGACCTTGAGATATAAAATAGGTACCGTTCAATTTCCATCATGAAGATCTATAAGTGTACCAAATTTGAAAAAAGTCTGTGTCAGTGATGGCCAGACTCTTGTTGATTTGACACAAAAGGACTCATGCAAATTAATTAAAAAATTGTGGTTGAAATTATTTCTGCATAATGCATTGGATAAATTATGGAGATCTTTATTAAATTTATTTTCCTGCAAGTTTCACCAATATATTGTAAGGAACAGCTGTGAGGGTTTATTTTACAGATCTGAAATGGCTCCCCTTCTCCCCAAACTCTATAAAAAAAAAAAAAATGCCTCTGAACTGCAGTTTAGTGTTCTTTCCAAACACTAAACTGCTTTGCTGCTACTTGCTTTTCAGCTTGTTGAAAATCCTCTATCGTAGTTCTATAGTTACTGATTTTAAGAACTCTAATGAATCTTCTGATCCCTAAAATTATCCTATTATTAGTTTTTTACCTTTTGGGGGGGCAAAGCACTAAATGATCTAATCAAGTACAGATTGGTTAAGCACCTTGCTTCACGTGTCTCTCTTTCAGATAAACAATATGGCTTTTGTTTCTCTAGGTCAATCACCAATGTGTTAACTGTTATTACTGAAAGTGTCTATCAGGTTTGAGATAAGAACAGAAAGGCTCAGGCTGTGACTTTAAATATCTCAAAGACATTTGACAGGGTTTGGCATGTTGAGCTTCTTCACAACCTCATGGGTTATGGTTTCTCTGGCCAAATATTTGACTTAATCCAATCATTTTTAACCAATCATACAATGAAAGTTGTGCTGAATAGCCATGCCTCTAGATCCTTTCACATTAATGTGGAGGTCCCACAGGGCTCTATCCTTGGACCTACATTTGTTTATTATAATCAATAACTTTCCTGATGTCATCAGTTTCCAATTAAGTATTTAAACTGATGACAACTATTTATTCCTGTCTTAATAATCTGATAGGTCTGACAAAACTGGCAGCTGCTCTAGAATTTACCTCCAGTTGATTGTTAACTGAGGCAAGAAATGTATTATAAATTTTAATGTCTCCAAAATTAAACTGATATCTTTTAATCATCATAGAGAACCATTTTTGCCTTCCATCAGCATGGCCAATTCTAACCTGCTTGTGAGCAACTTATTGCACCTTCTTGGTTCCACATTATCCACTAATATGAAGTGGAAGGATTATATTGAATCAATTGCTAGGTCTGCTGCTAAGAAAGTTAGTCTATTGGGTTCATGCCAGACAATTTTTCTTATCAAAATCTCTATTGCACATTTAAAAATCTACCATTCATCCATGTATTAAATATTGCTGCCATATTTAGTCTGGTGCTCCTGCTATATATCTTGAGATTCTTGACAAAATCCAAAGAGTCTGTAATGTTATTGGTCCTGACCTGGCATCTCAACATCAGTTATTTGACCACTGCAGTGACTCTCTTTTCTATAAATATTTTCATGGCAGTTCTAGTGAGTTTTCCTCTTTGGTATCTCAACCTCATAAATTTAAGTGTACAGTAATCCACTGCTATTAGGTGAACCAGTTTGCGCAGTGCCTGGTGTACCACAGGTGGGTTGTGAACCCCCAAATTTTGCTCTCATACCCTCAATATCGCTCACTTTTCTTAGAAATTCCACCCTATTTTACCAATTTCTGGGCCATCTTCTTCATAACAGACAGAACAAACAGCAATCATCAGATGGATCCTACCTGATTTTTGGGCTCTATTTTCCCTATTTTGCAATATATACTGTAAATAATGGCTAAAAAAAGAACCTCAAAATTTATACAAATTTATGCCAATGATTCCATAAGAAATTTTGGGTAATTTGCTTTTTAAGTCCCATGCTAAGTATCTAATAAAAAATTTCCCGAACAGTTATTTTTTATTCTAAATTTACATGCCTAATTTAGAAATAACTAAGAAATTTTTATAAAATCTACTGTTTGCATCAGTGTGCACAATAATTGAGACAAGTGAATGTCTATTCCATAGCAAATATGTGCAAACAACGCCAGTAATGGCTGCCACAACTTGAATAAGTCAAACTTTTATTGTCGATAACTCCAAAAAAGTAGATTTTATCAAAATTTCTTTGTTATTTTCAAATTAAGCAGGTAAATTTACACATAAATATAACTATTCAGGAAATTTTTATTAGATACTTAGTGTGGTGCTTAAAAAGCAAAATTACCTGAAATTTCAACTTATTTCAATGTTTTACAGAAGATTTTTTATACAATAAATTTTAACCAGCCTCAAAAGTACTTCCTCTTGCAATACATTATAGTCTAGTTTGAAAGGTAGTCTAGCATTGTAAAAGGAAAAGACAAACACAGAAGTCGTAAATTATAAGAAATTAAATTTATTTCTACAAATATCACATTTGCTAAACATTTGATAAAATCAGACAATAAGCACAATAGTTATATAAATAAATAAGAAATACATTCATATTAATAAAATCATCAATGTTCATCAACTCAATGTTTAATAAAAAAGTCAGTGAGCTTCTTCTGCACCCTGCCCTTCCTAGCTCTCAGCTGGGGCCTCCTAAGGTTTCTCATGTTTAGGGTAGTGATGTGTTCCTCATCCTGCCCTTCCACATACTCAATGAGCCAGTGGAGGTGGTCTACTGCATCAGTGTGGCTCTTGGCTGATGCTGGTGGTGCTGCTGCTTCTTCTTCCTCCTCCTTCACCTCATCTAAGATCTCCTGGTCAGTCAGAGCCTCTGTAACAGAGGTGTCATCCCCCTCCTCTACCTGGGACCACATGTCAACCCAGTCATGGAGGGTAAGTCTGCATCCTGGTGTGCCTCCAGCTGGTTCTGGGCTATCTGGATCTCTGTAGCATTGAGGCCATCAAATGGAAACACCTCTTCCTCAGCATCTTCCTCATCAAAGGCCCCACCCAAGGCCTTCCTCCAACAGTTCCTCATTGTAGCCTCGAAGACTGCCTCCCAGGCCTTGGCTGTCAGGTAAAAGGAGTCCTTCAGGGTCAGTTCCTTCAGGTAGTCTGTGGTGGTGTCTGGCAGGTCCAGCATCTCCATCACTAGTTCCTTCTTGTATAAGGCCTTGAAGGACTTGATGATGCTGGCATCACAGGGCTGAATCTTCAAGGTGGTGTTCTTGGCCAGATACTTCACAAAGATCTGCCCATCTGGAGTCCTCAGGGTGCTGGCCGCTGAATGAGTGCTGCAATTGTCCAACAGCAGAACTGCCTTCTCTAATAGGTTCCTCAAACGGAGATGCCTCTTCATACTAGGGACAAAGTCCTTGAATCAGATCTTGATGACTTCAGCAGTCATCCAGCTCCAGTTGGAATACAGCACGAGGAGGGTGGCTATATTCACATGGTGGAGGCACCTAGGGGACTGGAACTTCCCCACTGCCAAGGGCTTCAGCTTGTGGGTCCCAGCAGCATTGCAGGTGAACAGGATGGTCATGTAGTTCTTCACCTGCTTGAAGCCCTCAGTCTTATGGATGTCATCCTTTATGGCCAGTGTTCTGTCAGGGAGCATCTTGTAGAAGAGCCCCGTCTCATCAGCATTGTAGAGATGCTCTTTAGTCAGGGCCTCCTCCTCCTCCTGTGTCAGCTGACCTCTGCTCCCCCTGGATCTACACTGCTCCTATGCCATGCTTCTTCTGGAGCCACCTGTTGGTATCTGAATTCTTGTAAATTTGTCCAGTATTATAGGAAGTCTTTGATTGCATGCAAAATAGAAATATAAAGTAATTATGTGTAATTATTACCAATACAATTGGATTAGGTGTGAAACAGCTGAGGTTTTAAAATTTCACAAAATTTGGGCTGTTTGATCATCCAAATCAAGGTAAAACATGTGAAAAAGGGGTGTAATTATTAAAATTATTATTTGACCCCAAAGCCCGCACTATAGCGGTGGACTACTGTACTACTAGATTGGCAATTAGTTATCACCACTTTACTGTTGAAATAGCTAGATGTAACCATAAGTTCTATTCTAATGGTGTCTTTTCTTGTACTTCTTGCCTGTGAAACTCCCCTGTGGTTTCTTGTGACCATGCCACCTACAATCTTCAAAAATTTAAATGCAATGTCAATCACCATCTTGTCTTCCCAAATGCTGTTCTTTTATTGTCTTTTCTCCTCACTAAAGTTTTCTTATTCTCTTTCACTCTCAGTAACCCATGGTATCTTAGTGGCATTATTACCTTGGGATGAAATGATTTTTAAAAAAAGTGCTTCAGAATTATTGTTATTATGGACATTTTGGGTTCTAATCATATCCATAATAGTTTTGGGTATAGTTGTAATTATTTTGATGATATTACAATTGGATGTATTGTTCTGAAGTGATGTTAATGAGTTGGTAAGTAATACTGTGTCTATTTTTTATCTAGTTTGTTGTTGGTATTATCTTTGTTGTAGATTTTGTATGCTTTTCTCTTAGCATTGTGGATGAAATAATAAAGTTATGATGTTTTTAACATTTATATATTTCTTCTTTATTGGAGGCTGCAGATTCTTAGTGCTCTTAAAATCCTATAATTATTCCAGATTTTATTCTGAAACATTGGTGAGAATAATAGTTTATGAGATCATTCTTGCTAGTTTCTGTAAACTTTTAATTTAAGTTCACTATTGATTCTATTTAGACTGATATCTAGGAAGGATAATGTGTTATTAGTTTCAGTTTCAAATGTAAGATCTATTGTGGGTTCATTAAATTTATTTACAAGTTTGGGTAAAATTAGAATATCATCTATATATCTAAAATAAAAAGAATTTTGTGGTAAAGTAGTTTTGAAGAACCACTTTCTAGAAATTCTAAAAAGAGACAAACTAAAATGCCACTAAGAAGGGAACCCATTGGTAAACTAAATTTTGTTTATAAAAATTGTTATTGAATATGAAAAACATTTATTAGTAATTGGCACAGTTTTATGATCTTATGCATGGGAAAGATAATTTTATTTTTGTTTTCGTTTTACAGGAACATAAAGAATTTATATATAAACTGGTCATATATTTGTCTTTTATGTAAGTTTTTTAATCTATTGATAAAATATTCAAAATATATTGTACTAAGTAGCCACAGACACATACACATATACCTATTCTCCACAATAGCCCCTGCTAGCATGCATAAGTGTAAAACAAAAGGTACCATCCAATGGTGACTCATTTATCGTCATTCACAATAGGAGAGCCCACTATAATACACACACACACACACACACACACACACACACACACACACACACAGGGGTGGTTCAAAATATAAAGTAAAATATTAAAATTTGACATTTTAGCAAACTTTGCCTATATCCTCTTTTCAGACACCAAAAATTAATGTCTTCCAATTTTAAACAAAATTAATATCAAGAGGTCACTTGATTATTACACTTTTGAAATTATCCTATATTAGGTACATTAATACAAGGGAATTCATATTAGATATATTGCTGTCATAATCCTTACTTTCAGTTCATCTTTGGTGTTACAAGAAGTTTTGTTGGTCTCTTATTCAACTGTTCCCTACACGTAATAATCAAGGGGGTTGCAGTCTGTGGTGATTGGGTTCTGCTTGTGTGGCATGACACAGAGTCCTGCTGCCAGACAGTGGATCTTTCAGCAGCCACCCTCTTGACACAGGGCAACACTACTTCCTGAAGACACTTGATATAGGCCTCCATGTTGTGTCTGAAGCCCTGTGGGAAGATGAATGAAGGCATAATGTCGCTATCACTCCAAACACCAGGATATTGATTGGATATTTGGCTTTCATCACTCTTGGTACATCTTTTGGGGACACAGCAAGCCAATGGTTGTTCTGAGTATTCAACATCTTATCCTGGCAGAAATTTTTCTTGTCTAAGAAAAACCAAAGCATGTTCAGTTGAAGGGGATGCTTGGGCTTATTCAAAAGCTTTGTAGAATGGTCTTTCCTCTTGTCCTTTATGACTTGGAATAAATATTGACCCATGTATGAGAAATACCAAATGTTTTCATGCACTACTTGCCTGATAAGAAACTCCTACTCCTGTATCACTGGCTATGGACCTGATTGACATGGATGCATCGTTGTTAATTATGGCCTGGATCTCACCAACAAATTTGGGAGTTCTTTTCTTATCAGATCTATCAGAGCGAGTTTTCTGAGTTGCCATACCTTCGTAATCACCATTAGACTCTTCCAACTCTTTCTGAATCTTCTGTACTGTCCTCAGATTGACACTCAAACACTCTAAATTGGAGCTTCCGGCATGAATGCTAAGCAGTACAGTACGCAGTTTCCAAATGTCTAGTGAATTGCATCATGGGACGTGAAGTCAATGAAATCAAAAGCAAACAAGTAAAATTAAAAATATAAAATAGTGACAATTTACCCATTGCAGCCCTGTAGATTACAACCTCAAGTTTATTTGGTATCGGTGGATTCTACACATATATCACACTAGCCTCAACAAGTTCAGAAGCTATTGACATTTTAACAATTCATGATTGTAAGATCAAAAGTTTATTCTCAGAGAAAGGTCATGGTAGCAATTTAAAATGTTGCTTTTAAGCCACTTATAGCATAAGGAATATGTTAACATTAAATTTCAAATTAATATTTTAAAGATAAAACATGACATATAATTCTGCTATAAGCTCTATTTGTTAGAATCCGAGTTACGTAGTTTCTCATCACCAATTCTTTAAATATTGAAACACTGAAATTGCTTCAGCGCATGATTTAAAAACTTCTATAAAAGTGTTAAGTTCTGTGATCACATAATATTATCCAATTTGTTTAATATTTTGAACACAGAACATCAAGATGAACAGCTACAAGGGGTTAAGCAAAGGTTGCAAGTTCAGAAATCTGAACTACTCAGTATATAAAAATATATATGTAAAAATTCAGATATAACTAAAAAGGACAATATAAAGACAAAAGAAAATACTTAGCAATGCATTTTGTTCTCGGATGGACCTTATCAAGGCAAATGTAAGGATTTTATTTTGCAACAAGTATTTATAAACAGAAATAAAAAATTTTTCAGAATTTTTACATTTACAAATGCTCATAAATATTCATCAGGCTAACTGAAAGGTCAAGGTACATTATGGAGGATGCTAAGTGACATAATTCAATGTCTAATAAATATGTAAATGTTGTTGAGTTTTTTTTATAATGTAATTATTATTTATATTATTTTGAGATTAATTTATGCATTATATATCTTAAATAACAGTTTCTGTTTCCCTTTAATGTTAGCAGCAGTTTCCTTGTAATTTCTATTCTCCTAAAAACTTCCTTGTTTCTCACACCCTTTGTCTTAAATAGAACTGCATCATCTCTATCATTTTAAGTCTTCTCTTCATCAGTGAGGAGATTGTTTAACATACACTGCCATACATCAGATTAGAAATTATATAGCAGTCCAGCATTCTTTTCTGTTTCTAATGAAATTTTCCTATCTTTTAATATTTTGCTTAGTTTCTGAAAGGCATATTTTGCTATTTTTAGGCACCTTTGAACTTGTCTCACACTTTCATTATCTTTTACTACACAATACACAAATAGTTAAATTTCTGTACCTGCTTGAGTTTGACATACCAATTCTCATATCTTGGGCTATCTCTTTCGCTGACAATCATGTATTGTCATCTTACACTTAAAGGATAGCCCTTTCTTACTTTTCTCAAATACCTAAATAGTTTTTAATTTTTTTCTTTGAGTTTGCCATCAACAGTGTCATCTTTATAATTTGTTAGGGTAATATCAACTAATAATAAATACCAGTAAGTATTCTTGTCCTCTTAAGGTCAACTTGCTGTAGAGATTAAATCAATCTGGTGAGAACATTTATCCTTGTTGCATTCTTCCGTTTTTGAGTACTTGCTAAACTCATTCTTGATCCACATGCATGATGTTTTTTTCCCATGATTGCAGATTATTAGAATATCTTTCCCACATAAATGAAACTTATCTAATAGCTCAAGGAGCACTTTGTGATGCCTTTGTCATTGTGTAAACTATAAAATATAGGCTTAGATTTTTCTACATTTGTATTGCCCACTATTCTGACAAAAAAAAAAAAAATTTTTTTTTGGTTCCAGTGTTTTGAACAAAGCTACTCTGTTCTTGTCCTATTTCCTGTCTAATTCTGCTATATAAGCTCTATTTGTTAGAATCCTAGTTACGTGGTTTCTCATCACCAATTCTTTAAATATTGAAACACTGAATCAAATATATTGGGGAAGAATTTATGAAATTTAAATTTTCTTTTTGGTAACTTATTTTCATAAGCAAACATTTTAAGTTTTACTTCCAATTTCATCTAACATCTTCATCAATTAAGTTCAAGCCTAGAATTCTATTATTAAATGGTCATTATCTTTTCCTTTTATTATGAAAAAGTGATTTTCGATTCTTACTGTTTTTTAAATTAATCCATTTTAATTTTTCTAACAAAGCTTGGAATGACAAAAAAATAACAGCCATGCTATCACATTCATCAAAGATAAAATGAGAAAAAAGATTATTAAAAAAGGTTTTGAATTTTAAATAAGTTTGATTCGAGATTACGATTACCTTTTTAATTTTAAGGGTAATTTATTAAAAGAAATTACCAACATAGTTTTTTGTTCTGTGAAGGAAAAAGATAAACAGCCAAATTTCAGAAAAAGTAATAAAAAAAAAAAAAAAAAAAAAAAACTCAAACGTGGAACTGTTTAGTCACGTGACATGTAAATTTTTGTTCAAGAAGAGTTTCTTCACAGGCGGCATGTAATTGTAAAATTGTTCAATTGCAACGGGGAGAGAGAGTTATCAAGAGTTTCAAATAAGTACCAAAAACAAAAAAACGCTTACGATAACCGCAGAAAAGTTTTTAAACAGTTTATGTACAATTTTCTTTTTCTTTCACTTGTTATTTGAAAATTGCAATAATAAAATTATTCATCATATCAACTGTTTTTGTTTTGTTTAAATTTTTTTATTTAAAAAAAGAGTAAATTTTTCCTTTTTGATGTCAACATTTTCTTTTATGTTTTTATCCTTAACAGTTTTAACACCTAAAAAACACACGTTTTGAACATTTTTTTCAAAAAGCTTCTGAAAATTGAATGCATTTAAAAAAAAAAAAAAAAAAAAACAAACAATCGATCATAATTATTTTTTAAATTGTAAAATCGCCAAGGAATTAAAATAAATTTAATTTTATTAAAAACAAGAGACGTTTTTGTTTGATCTCTAGCTTTTGTTTTAATTTTTTTTTTACAGAATGTCAATTTTTGTTTTGATTTAGCAATAAAATTAAGAACAAAGATATTTGAAAAATATGTTCAGTTAACTAACAATAACAGTTCTGTTAAAGGTTTAAAAGTAAAACTAAAAAAACACTAACAGTTATAACCATAAACTAAACTTGCAGACTGGAAAAACACAGAATAGACAATCATTACCAGCCTTTATTTTTTTTTATCAGGAAAAAATAAATTATTTTTAGTTTAAGGAATAATTTTATAACTTACCATTTTTCACTTCATAGGAAAGTTTAAAAAAGAATTCAATCATTTTAAAAAATTTTGAAATATATTTCCCTTTATTTTTTTTTTTGCAATCATGATGGCATTTTCATCAAGTTTTCAGTTTTCTTTAAAATTCAAGTCAAATTTGTAATTTTATTTCTACAAATTTGAATTAAAAAAGTGATTGAATTTTTTAATATTGGAAAAAATATTAGTTTCTTTTTATTTCATCTTAAATTAATTCTTAAAGAATATTTAAGAAAATAAATTTTCAGATGTTATAATTAAATTATAAAACTAAAAGCAATTATTTGGGAATGCTTTTAAAAAAAAAAAAATTAAATTATTTATATTACCAGATTTTGTTTACAGTTTGTTTATCCTTCCAATTTTTTTTACGAAACTTAACATTTTTAACAACTAAAAATCGATATCACGAAATACAACTCAAATTGCTTTGGAAAAAAAACTTTTTTTTAAAATTACTTATTTATTCAGTTTTATTTCCACTGGATAAAATGATTCAAATGTCTTCTTAATTGTTTACAAAATTATTAATAAAATAAATAAAGCGGTTTTCTGTTTCTTTTTCCCCATCCTCAAATTTGAATTAACCACGAGGAAAGCAACATATTCACTCAGATTGTTGTATATTTTTCTCACTTTACCCAAAAATACAAAGTATTGTAAATTTTTGCATTTATGTGATGAAATAAATGAAATCATAATGTAAAAAAACTGAACACTATTCTAAGCATCATTTTTTTTTTTTTTGAATGAACAAGTTTTATAAATTTTTCTTTGAGACAAAGTGGAATTACTTGGTTAATGTCTTTGGAGGTTTAACGCTCATATGCTGAAGCCAATTACAGAACCAAAAATTAAATAAATTAATATTTATTAAAAAAAAAAAAGAACAAGCTCTTTTAAAGCCAATTTTTAACTCGTCGGATAGAGAACAACAACAAAAAAATGGGTCATTATTACTGGCAAAAAGCTTCTTTTCTGTTGCTAAGAAGAAAATTTCAAATTCTAATTTATTTACAAAAAAAAGATGAAACTGCAATATAGGCAAATAAATCTAAAGTAAAGTCAATCGAATGGAGAAATCATTTTTTAGCCATCGGTTAGATTCTAAGAGAAAGCAAAAGAGGGAATAAATAAATACTAAACAATTAAGAATGCTGTCCCCCCTCTTTAGTGATAGAATTAAAGATCCCGATTCAATTGAAATATGAACTTGGATGAATCCATTATCGCGAAAAGGTTAAGTCATGTACGAAGGCGGACATGCACTATGCGATAACAATTACAAATCACAAAGTAAAGAGCTGTCTTATATTACTAGAAATATCATTTTAAATAAATAAACAAAATTAAAACAACATAACGAATACTACCTTTACACTGCGAATCTAATTCACGCAATTGGGTGATTTTTCGTTGTAGATCATCAGGTAAATTATCCATTATATCTAAATAATTTTGAAGATAAGTTGCCGAACATAATGCTTCGACAGCAGCTTGATTTAACATCGTCATCTTGATTTCCCCATACAGTTCATTGGTGTAAAGAAAGAATTAAAAGTTACAATCTGGGTTTGACGAAGTATACTCAGACTTAGCAAATTAACGACCTATTCAGGTGGCTGTTAAACAGCGGTAATTTCACCGTTCACTTCCTTAGCCTCGTTTTGGATTTTTCACAAACCGCACTCACTTGGGGAATGAGAACCAAAAAAAAAAAAAAAATATTTACGGACAACCATATGTGCAATAAATTTGATTTTCTACTTGTTTTTTCATTTGGTTATTTATTTTTTTTAATGAGCATATATTTTAGTCATCCGCTTCTATATGGATTATATTATCTTTCAGTATTTAGAACAATGTTCTTACGCTTTCAAAATTTTCTTTTGTTAACATAGCAAACAAAAAAGTTCATTCTTTCTTTAATCTTTTGTGAACAGTGAATATATGTTTAAAATTTCAAAGACATATGTAAAGAATAGAAAAAAAGCATAATTTTTATTATTTAAAAGAAATTCTATGTTTTAATTTACTTATTAATTTTTTTAAATATTTGTGTAGCCTTATGAAAATATTTTTTAAATTAATGTTGCGTTGCGTTTATTCCATAGATTCGTCGGCTATAAATTTCTTCATGGAACTAACCATAACTTCCGGTGTCATTTGCTCACGTGTTTGAGGAAGGTGTTTTGGGGGCAAATCGTGTTTAATGCTTATTCTCTACGCACCGTTTCTGTTTTGGAGTGTGTACGTATTGTTTTGCATTTATGAATTTCTTGGAGTTGACGTTTTAAAAAATATTTCGCTATTCATACTCAACAATCAACATGATAACAAAACGTTACCATGAGATTGAGAATATTCAAAGAGATCTTAGAAAAAGAACATCTATAAAGAAACAAATGAAACTCGTGCATTTTTATTCAGTACACTACACAGATGGACAATTTGAAATTGAAAATATATCCTTTCACTTTAACCTTGACAATTATTGATATTATTTTTGTTGTTGTTGTTTGTGTGTTTTGTTTGTTTATTTGTTTGTTTGTTTTTTGTTCTTAAGTACTATATGCGCTTCTAACTGAACAGTAGCGTAAAAAAAGATTCTTCGGTCATATTTCGCAAGGAGAAAGGAAAATCTTTTTTCGATGTACTAAATTCGAATACAAAGAATTGAATAATAAACTGGTAAATTTCTATTTTCAAAATTTTGTTTCCCGAGCGCTAATATCCCTTCAAATTTTTCCAAAATAGTCATTTCCGTGCAAATGTATATGCTGAACTCGAATCAACAATTAAATCATGAAGAAACCTACCTTTTTGGATGTTAACGACCAGAAAAAAATCGGACTTCTTCTCGGTCTTTCGTCAGCCATTACCGGCTTATTGAGAAGTAATTCACTGCCGAAAGATTTTTGGCGGAGTCATAAAATTTGGGCCTATATTTACTTCTTTTACAGACTTTCCTTGCAGAAAATCACTACGCACTACCGTAAAGAAATGTAAATTTTTTTTTTTTTGGTAAGTTTAGTTTTATTTATAACAAAAACAAATTAAATAATACAATATAGAAACTTTTTCTGTTTCGAATAGCAATGACAAATTAAAAAAACAAATTAAATGATAAAAATAAAGCATTTTTATATTCAGAAGACTGGCTATTAACAGTGATCTTCATAGATAATAAGAAAGATTTGTAAGGGTTAAAGATACCATAGCTGCTACACTCTAACAAATGCCTTTGAGATATCTAAGACAATTGCTCTTGTGATGAATTTATTATCAAGTACCACACTGATTCTATGTGTAATGACAGGACACTAGTAGTGGATGTAGAAGGGTGAAATCCATAGTTGTTCAAAAGGTGGTTTCTACTGATGTGATCAAGAAACTTGTTGATCATAGACTCAATAAAGGCATGACATGACACAGAGTATGTGGTTGGTAGTTTTATCCCAAACTTAACCATCATCAGTTTGTAACTTTTGATAACTTTATCTCTACATCTACTATATACTAGTCAAAAAATAATAATGTTTTTTATAACTTGCTTAATATCAATTTTTTCTATTTCAGATTATTATATTGCAGTTGTGAAGAAAGGGTCAACATTTTCAAGTCATTATTTCTTGATATTTTGCCTGTGAAAAATAAACAGGATATTTTCCTTCAAAAATGGTGTTGGTCAAATGGTGTCAACCCTCTTTAAAACAGATGTCAAAATTGAAATATCCTATGCAAAGGAACTTGCTAAAAACTATCTCAACTTGTTCAAGTGTGTTAAATTCTTATGGAATGGCAAAAACATATTGCCAAAGGCACAACCTACTTAAATACCAACGAAATCACTCTTCTTGGACACAACCGGAAGGATTTGACACAAATATAAATGTTTATAACAGTCTTACAAAACAAAAAGACAAATTAATTCTTCAAAGAAAGAATGTTGCTACATGGTATGTGTGTTCACTGCTTTATTAACCTGAAGTCATGAAGATATATATACTTTTTTTTTAAATGATATCTCTCCATGGTTTGCAGATTGGACTACATTTGAAAGCTTATAGTTACTAAATGTTGTGAATTGAGTTTCTTCACAAATTAGCACAGCTTATTTTAAAAGTAGCCCAGAAAGTTGTAAGTATCAAAATGCAAAATGTAGTGTTGGCCTTTCAATTTGTATCCCAATCTAGCAATCCTGTGCCAACCATACCCATCTTAGTTTGATACAAGACTAAATGAGGAGAACAGAGTAAGAAGAGTGTATAACATCAACCTTTCAAGTGGGAAGAGACTGCTTGCTTATAAAATCATAATTAAAAATCCTGGGTTTGATTATTAACCTCTGGCACAGGTGAGAAATTTGTAATTATTTCATCCACAAAGCTGGCACAAGACACAAGTGAGAACACCCACTGAAAGCTACACAAGCAAACTGGTCTGCAAAACAAACTTGCTAACCATTGCATCATAGCGATTTTTGAAAAATGGTAAAGTTTTATGGTTGAGGTAAATTATACAGTCCCTGTTAGTACCAGTGTTTGATATTTAAACCCAGGTCAAGGATATGATTTTGATTTCTAAATTGGCAGATCGTTCCCACTTAGCAAAACGTGATCATTCTACCTTATTTGTAGTTTGTACATTTATGTATGTATAAAATCCTCAATACTTATGTTATTTATTTCTATATATATGTTTCAAGAAGAGATTTCAGCTACTAAATATGTATTTATCATTAGAAGTTCTTTGAATGACTTTAATGATCTTCTCAAATCTGTTTTCAGAAAATAAATAATTAGAAAAGAAAAAATTAAATATTTATTTTTAAAATACAACATAAAACTTATTTCCCAATTCCTTAATTTTAATTCTTAAATTTAACTTTTAAAATCTAATTTCCAATAAAATAAAAGACATTTGACTCTATTTATATTACAAATTGTCTAAGAAAACAGAAATTATCAATATATGAATCTGAAATTAATTGGAAGTAAAATTTCCATAACAAAGCTTTGTAAATGAAAGAAAGAAATGTGACATTCCTCTTTATGAATTACCAAATGTTCAAAAAAAGGTTAATTTCTTGATATATGTCCTCTTTTCCTTCTCTTAGGTATGTCTGTGGTCCAACTGTATATGACAGTGCACACTTAGGACATGCAAGGACTAATGTACAGTTTGACATCATACGGAGGATTTTAACAAACATTTTTGAAATTGACATCATTCAAGTCCTGAACATTACAGATATTGATGACAAAATTATTGCTAAAGCAGCAAAGGTAATTAGTGTTACATCCTTAGATTATTTTTAAAAAAGAGAATTTTGTTTTAATTGTCAATTTTCTGACACAAAGTATTAGCAATAACAAGAACATTTCAATTTATTTATAGTGACACATAGATTATATAAATAACCAACAGTCAGGTTGCAAGTGATGACCTATAGCCAGACAAAAGTTACCACCTGTCAGCTGGGGCTTCAGAATACACTGATTACATTTCTGCAAAGGGGTAAGACCCCCACCCGACCCAATGAGGCCATCTGTTTGCTGTGGGTGGTGACCTGTAATATCTGGGGACCAGAGCCTGGTAGTTGAGGGCTTCAGGAGTCAGTCAGTTACTTCTGATTCCCAACCATCATTTTGGCCCTTACTTGGATTAGACAGGCAGGCAGTCAGAAAGGCCAGATCTGTAGTTCTGCTGGCTATAACAAGCCTATAACTATGGAGTACTTTATAATACAATACCCCAAATATACACTGGGATAAAATACCATCTCAATCTAATTTATAGGTGTTAGAAGGCAATGACTGAGGGTCAGTCAGTTTAAAGAGATCTAGACTTAGACATGGCTATGAACACTTATTTGGGAAGTGCAACAAATGGTTTAACAGGTGCTCTCTCGAATACGAGTATACTGGTTTGTGTAGCCCTGACCTGTCAAGGTGACTGGTCTTCCCCCTTGACGTGTCTCAATGTTGGGCTCTGAGGTGGATGGAGAGCACAGGCAGTGAATCTTAATACACAAAAATTATGAATAATCAAAATAAAAAGCACAAGAGATGTCTTTCGGACTCTGATTCTGAAAGATAAATTAATATGGAATTTCCAAGATTTTTTGTGCTCACATCCCTAGAAGAAACTCTGCTGACAAAACTTTCCCCTTTCTTGATTGAAAAGGTACTATCCAGTAGGATTAATCCTAAAACAAAAAGTTGGGGGATAGCAATTTGCTGGTTAAGGTGGAACATGCAGAAAATATTATAAAAATGAAGACCTTTCATAATATCAAAATTAAAACCTTCCTTCACGAAAGACTGAATACTTCTAAGGGAGTCATTAGAAGGTGTCTCTGACTACACCTGAGGAAATTACACCTGCCTTAGGGGTCAGTGATTGCCATAGAATCTCAGTTAAAAGAAAAGGGGAGGAACAATTATAACTGACACATAAAATCTCCCCAAAATAAAAATAGTGTATAATTTTGAGCCAGTGGAGCTATGTATCCCTGTTCCACTAAGATGCTTTAGGTGCCAAAAATTTGGATATCATAGGGATAGATACAGGATTCACCCAACATGTGTAAAATGTGGCCAAAGGGATTCAGGCCATACTGTGGAAGAATGCCACGATGAAATAAGATGTGCTAACTGCCAGAATAGCCAACCAGCATACTCAAGAACATGCGATTTCTGGGAAAAGGAAAGGGAAATTGTCATGGTAAAATATAAAGGAAACATTCCCCATTTTCAGAAGTAAGGCAAATGGTAGAAGATTACATGAAGGGCTCTTCCAACACAGAAATAATGGAAAATAAGACTATAAATAATGCTGGTCAGCCTGACAAATACAGAGTCCTCATTGAGAGGCTCATACATGTGGGACCAAATGATTGGCCCAAATTTCAAACTTACCTAAAAAGTCTATATTCCAAGGAAATGGTGCAGGCTGAGCCACAAAAGAAAGACAATGAAAAAACTGAAATAATAAATAAAGATAAAACAAATAGCAAACCAACAGCTCAAACACAAACTACTCCTACCAAAAATATCAACTCTCCTACTAAACAAAGGTCACAGTGATCTTGTATCCATCCGCCAAAAGACAGACTGAAAAACTTATCTCCCAAAAGAACAGAATCAGCCAAACAAAAGCTGAAAATCCACAATGACCAAATTCCTGCGCAAAATCATTTTGATGAACTAAAAAAAATGGCGGTAAAAAGCCAGAATCCTCAAATGGCTAAAACATCCAAAATGAAAACCTAGAAAAAAAGGAATCAAACCACATAAGCTAAAGGCCAAAAATGTTTAAACAGGTATGCATAAGATAATTCAATGGAACTGCTGTGGAATAAAGGCAAATGAACTGTTTTTGTTAATAACAGACTTGCCATTGGCAGTTGTTTACCTTCAAGAAACATTCCTTAAGCAAGGTGACAAGATGAATATAAAACAATGCCAGTAATACAACCATACAGATGACAATGGCCTTCATACATCTGGTGGTACATCTATCCTAGTTAGGAATGATATACCCCAAAGTAAAGTAAATCTGACAACTACTTTGCAGGTGACTGGCGTTAAAGTGACCTAGATAAGCCAATAAACATTTTCTCAGTATATGTCCCATCTAATGAACGAGTAAATGAAGCTGAAATTCATGAAATTATAAAGCAACTCCCTGCACTCTTTATGATACTTTAACTGTTATAGTACCATATGGGCTGTAAAGACAATTTGTTACAGTTTAAGCAACTTTGAGCAAAAACCAAGGAAAATAATTAAAGCAAAAAAGAATCTTAGAAAAATTACATCAGCAGACTTAATTCTGCCACAAAAACAAAATCTGTATGGGATATGATAAGGAAAATAGATGGTAAACATCATACTAATGCTATAAAACATCTCTTGATAAATAACTGTAAAATAACCAGCAAAAAATATATTGCTAATCAATTAGCCAAAAAAATCTCCAAAAACTTATCTGCCAAGAATGGTAGCCAACAATTTCTGAAGCTCAAAGAAAAAGCAGAAAAACAAAAATTATGGTTTAAATTAAAAATAAAACTGAGAGCTATAACCTACCATGCACTATAGAGGAAATAAATGAATCTTTAAAGAAAGCTCGCAATATGGCTGTAAGACCAGATGATATCCACTATCAATTCATAAAACAGTTGCCTAACAAATCATTACAACTATTACTAAATTTGTATAACAACATAGGGATAAGTAGCAGATAAGTAGATATGTGGAGACAGTCATTCATCATCCCTATTCCAAAACCTGGAAAGGATGACACAGATTCTGATGAAAGATACAGGCTGATAGCACTATTGAGTTGCCTATGTAAAACTATGGAGAGAATGGTCAACAACAGGTTGACTTGTTACTTGGAAACTAATGGCCTAATCAGTGACTACCAATGTGCTTTTAGGAAAAAAAAGTACCATGGATCATTTAGTATGCCTCAAAATCTTTGTAAGGGGAGCCTTCATTAAGAAAGAACATCTCACAGCAGTAGAGTAGTTTTTGACTTAGAACAGGCATACAATATAACATTAGGATGAATTTGGTATCTTGAAAGATCTGCATGGACTGGGTCTAAAAGGAAGGCCGGTTTAATTCACAGGGAATTTTCCTGAAAGACTAGAGGTTTCAAGTCCATATAGGAAGTATGTTATCAGAACTGCAAGATCAAAAAGAAGGCGTTCCACAAGAAAGCATTCCTTTGGCAATGCTATTTTGTGTAAAATTAAATCCATAGTTAAAACCCTAAGCCTAGGTGTGAGAAGCTCTCTATATGTTGATGATTTTCTAATTATGTACTGATTTCAGCATATAAATACCATTGAAAGACAACTCCAACAATATCTCAAAAAAATACACAAATGGGCCACTGAAAATTGGTTTACATTTTCCAAAATTCTGCATTAAGAATTAAGAAAATTGCACATGACTGATGTTTAAAATGAGATAGGGCAGAAATCCCAGTAGTAAAACACAATTTTCTAGGCATTATCTTTGATAAAAAATTAACGTTCATTCCCCATCTAAAATATTTGAAAACAAAATGTAGCAAACCCCTACAACTTCTGCATATAGTGGCCCATACTGAATAGAGAGCAGATTGACTAATATTGATCAAATTATACAGATCACTACTTTGCTCAAAACTGGATTACTCTAGTTTCATTTATGGGGCAGCCAGAAAGTCATACCTAAAAATTCTCAATGCAACCTATCATCAAGGCCTCAGATTAGTACTCGAGGCTTTTAGAACATCCCCAGTGGAGTGCTTATACACATCCTCAGTGGAGTGCCTATGTTACTGAAACACCTCCACATTTATGACGCACTAAACTGACACTACAGTGCTATGTAAAATTAAATCATGCCCAATTAGCCCAGCTTACACCTTTGAACCAAATTATTACAATCTATTCTGAGTAAAATGCTATACAACCTTACAGACTTAGGATGAAATTCATTGCTAAAGAGTTAGGCACCACACTCTCAAATATACAAGAAATGACTGCAGCCAGTATTCCACCACTCACTATTCATCCTATTGGCTTTAAAGGAAAAAATCGAACAACCCACTTATTATGAAAATATTATGCAAAATGGGCAATATTAACAAGATTAAAATCAAACTCTGCTGGATTCCTAGCCACATCAGAGTTAAAGGTAATAATGAAGCAGATCTATCATCCAGGTCAGCTTTAGATGTGAATCTGGATACAAGGACCAAAATCCCATATACAGATTTTAAGGAGGTTATTAATAAATACATTCAAAAGGAAAGACAACAGTATTGGTGCAATAACCCATACAATAAACGTTTTGCAATCCAGCCCAAACTAGGAGATTGGAAGTTAGCTTTCAGAAGATCTTGTGAGGAAGAAGTGGTACTGGCCTGTGTACGCATTGGCCATATGAGAATAACCCCTTCATACTTACTAAAAAAAGTGTAATGTGTTGGTCGGTCAACTTGACACCCCCAAAGCGAGTGGAGGTGGGCAGGCATGGGAACTGTGATTGCTAGCTGGCTTGTTGGTGTTTTGCATAAGCTATTTCGGCATTTACTTTATCTCTAGCAAGATGGCGGAAAGACCATTCGACATAAAACTGATCTCTGAATTCAGTGGTGATATGAGTGGACAGTCTGTGGTTGAATGGATCGAAAATGTGGAACTGGTCTGCAAATTATGCGAGATTATGAAAATTGAACGGATTCTTCCACTGTGCTTGAAAGGCGGCGCCCTTGCTGTGTATAGGCAGCTGAGCAAAGGACAGAAAAGTGACATTGAGCAAATAAAGTGTGCTCTACTAACCGTGTTTGGAACTGACCGGTTCGTGGCCTATGACCAATTCCAGGCATGGAGTCTGCAACCTGGCGAGACAGTAGACGTATATATGGCAGAATTAAAGAAACTCGCCGTACAGATCACACCGCTTCCTGAAGAATGGATGACCTGTGCCTTCGTGTCTGGATTGCCAAGTCATGTTAAGCAGATACTCCACGCATCATCCAGAATGGAAGACATTACACTCAATCAATTGTTGACCAGAAAATTGCTATCGTGATCAAAAAAAAAAAGGCTGATGAACCAGTGGCCGCGAGTCGCTCAACCAATTGAAGTCAAAGAGGATCCAACCCCAGCCATCCGTCGCCATGGCGATGTCACCTGCTATCAGTATTTGGGCCAAATCATTTTGCCAAAGACTGCTGCTATTAATTAAGAAATGCGCGGTGGGTTGGCTTTCAAAGGCATGTCTCGATCTTTTGTTTCCAATGTCATTTATTAGGTCACATTGCCTCTAAGTGTCCGGGAAATGGAATGGGGACAAATGTCAGCTGGTCTCTTCCCCACAATTTGAGCATGAAAGAGGCGCTCTCTGTGATTAAGGTGTGTATCAATGGAATAACGTGTACGCTTTAGTAGATTAAAATTAAATTGAAAAATTTCCAAAAAAGTTCGATTTGTTGACAGTGGAGCAGACAAAAGATGGACGTACTAACGGCCAATGGCAAGGCTCTCAGAAACCGGGAGTTGGAAACATCAAACTCAAAATCAACAACTTTAACCGTGTCACAAAATCAGTGTGTTGGTAAATGGACAGTGCATTATTAGGTTTTGATCTGCTCCTTGGGATGGACATTATTAAGGAGCTGGGCAGCGTACACATCACAGAGGCAGGCGAAGTCGAGTTTTCTGATCTGCCCATCTGTGCTGCTTTGAGGATTAACGAACCTGACTTCAGTGCAACTTTCAACCAGCACAGGTGCGTATAGACGTCAACATGGCCAGCTGTCCAGAGGCGGATGGCAGCTCAATGGGTGAGAGTTCATCCGAAGATGAGGACCCTGTCATCCCACTCAGAAGAAGTGCCTGGCAGAAGAGGCCTGCCCCGAGTTGCACGGTGTGCAATCATGACAGCGAGACACGGGATGAATCTGGAAATCTGCTACCTTGGAGCAAGCAAGTTTGCGCATGTGTGGTCATCCCAATATGTCAAGCGTGCAAGTTGTATATGTGTAGACGCAGTCATCAGACAGACGCAACCATTTCTCGAACTGAGAAGCTTTCTGATCTTAAGATCAGGTGGGGGTGTAATGAGCTGGTTGGTCAACTTAACACCCCCAAAGCAAGTGGAGGTGGGCAGGCGTGGGAATTGTGATTGCTAGCTGGCTTGTTGGTGTTTTGCATAGGCGAGTTACCAAGCTCTATGTAAAGGGCTGGAATGAGAAGGAGGGCAGTTTTTGTCTCAGAAGTGGAGACTGTGCCTGTCGCTACAACAGCAGGAGAGAAAGAGACAAAATCATTTATTTTTTCATGACACATTCCAACACACAAAGATCAACCACTATGCCAAGCATGTAAAACAGTGTATACTATTAAATATATATTAACTGATTGCTCAGATCTTGCTTCTCAAATAAAAATATTATAATATAAACAGTATGTATTAACTGTTCTAGAAAGTAAAAGTGGATGATATAATATCATTTCTCAAAGCAGGACTCAAAATTATAAGGCAAATGAGAATGTTAGCATCATTTTCTCTACAAACCGTGTATCTGAAAAGAATACATGAATGAAAGCAGATTCTCAACAACGACCCTCTTTACAAAAGTATATTAATGAAACCGGATTTACAAACTGTTTCCTTACAAAGAATATATATTCTATTCATACGAATCTATTGTAAAAATCTTGTTGCCATTAAATAATCCATTGAAGTTGATATACTGCAAAACAAAAGAAACTAAACCAGACAAAAATTAAGTTAAAAAATGCCCAAATGTACAGTGGATATAACAAGAAAAGACCAAAAACAAGAGAATTAGCAATATTATAAATAGAATGTGTTGTTGAAAATACCTTGAATAATTTAAAAGGCATATTTGTTCTGTATCAGTATGACTAAGATGAGTGCCATGCTGAGTGTAATGAGTTTGATCCTCACTGGCTGCTCTCCAAAATTTTGCCTTGTGCTAAACTTAGGCTAGTTATATAAATAAGAGTTGTCAAATGGAAAAAGTATGAGATGCAGTGTTGTACCAATTTTTCAAATTAGAAAGGTTAGCCTGTTTGCTTTGAAAATCTGTATTCAAAATCCTGGTTCTTACCTGGGCTTGAAATACCTACTAGTGCATATCAAAAGTGCATAATTAACTCCGCCACCAACTCATATACCAATATGCCTAATCATTTGTTAGCAACTTGAGGTTTGTACATATCAGAGTGGCTCTGTCCCACACACTGTCTACATTGGAGTGGTGTTGTATCTGTTCAGTAATTTCTGCTTTTATGATTATTTTAACAATAAAAATTTTGCTTTAATTATCTGGTCCAATTAGCCTCTAAATATTTTGGTTGTTTTCAAATTATTCTGATCTTTTCAACTATTTTGTAAGGCCATTATACTTTGCTTCATGATATTATGACTGGTGTCAAAGGTTGACTGGTGATCTAATTTTTATTTCTAAGGAAGGAAAAATATTTTTCATGTTAAAACAATGCAATACCATGAATTTTCTGGTTTATTTCACTTTTGGAATATAGTATAAGAGGTGATATTGTAAGCTTGGGGGGGGATTGGTTGTTAGAAACGGCCATCAGTCTGTTGAACTTGAGTGTTGTTTTTATTTGATAAAAGATTTATAGAAGGATTGTTTTGATCAGGGATATTACACTGTCAGATGGAGGTGACAATGACCTCTGTCATAATCAGGTCAAATGAGGGTGAGATTTCAGAACATAGAAAATGTTCCACTGAAGGTGTATAGGTAATAAAAGACCATAATTTTGATTGGCCTGGGATGGAGCTTCTCATCTCCTCTTCCTATACTTAGGACACGGCCATTATTTTGATTGGACCAACAATTATTGGGTTCTTGGGGGCTTTCCTTCCTCCCCTTCAAGGCATATGACACAAGACTTATTATTGGCTAACCAATCTGACCAGTGCAATTAGGGTTTGTGTCCCCATAAAAGCTGTTGCCAAAAGAACAGAAGTAAGATCGAACTGATCATGCCACTAGTAGACCAACACTCCCCCTGCCAGATGACTGTGGTGCCTCAATCAGCTAAAGACCTGTTCTATATTGCTCTTTGTATTCCCTCAATCAGCTGCCTTCATTTAAATAATTGAATGATTCTGGGCTGTTTAGCCATAACTGCAACTGCCAGTCAACCTCTTCCTCCCAGAAACTTCTTCAAATCCCTTTTGTTTATGTATTCAGTTGTTATTTTTACACTTGATAATAAGTGTTGTTGAAGTAAATAAAATTTTACTGGCGACATTGGTGGCTTTAGTCTTTCACAAACATAGCCAAGACAGAGAGGGAGTCAGGCCTGATCTTGGACTGTTCTTCACTGATATTCCTGTGGATGCTGAAACATATGTAGGGACACAAGAGCGGGCTTTTTGGAGATGGACCAATAGAGACAGATGAGAGTAAGAGTGGCATTCAGCAAAGCATGCAGCAACAGGGTCACAGCTTTACTTCTCATTTTATATTTAAGACACCTGCTATCCATCCAAAAAATATTTATTTTTGGCAGAAAAATATATTTTCTCTATTTGATTTCTAGGTTGTCTAAAAAGAGCCTCATTTTTAAATTTCCATTATAAATGATTATTTTTTTTTAATTTCAAAATAACAAGTTATTTTGATATTGATATTATTTTGTGAATAAATAGTTTTTGGGATCACTTTAGCCTCCACCATGTCTTGTTTAGTGAGAAGAATGTTCAGTAGCCAAAACTAAATGGGGATAATTCACACCTAACATGTTCCAAGTTGTCATTCCCCTGCTTGTGGTGGAGCAACTATTTGCTGATCACAACATGACAAGTGTAAAAATCCACAATATGTACGCTTGGAAATGTTTAAACAAATTTAGTGATTATGTATCTTTAATTTTCTCAAACTAAAACATTTCTCCCCTTGGAATTGTTTTGTTTTTTTTTTCTTTTTTGGTGTGGCAGGTGTTGGGGGGGTGATATTAAAAGTGATTTTTTCTTTTATATATAAATCTCATAATGTTAATGTAATTTTATGTAGTTGAATATTGTACTTATTTTTAATACTTCAGGAAGGTATCAGCATGGCTGAAGTTTCTCGCAAATATGAACATGAGTTTTTTAATGATATGGCTGCACTAAATGTCTTACCACCAACTTTTGTTCCCCATGTGACTGACAATATTGATACCATCATTCAATACATTGACAGAATAATGAAGAAGAGATGTGCATATGCGACTCCTTCAGGTAAGTAGTCTCCCTTGCATTGAGTGTAAAAAAAAAAATTAAAATTTCACATTAGATATATCCCCTTATACATTAGTATCTGAATTTAATGTTTCATAAAAAAAAAAAACAGAAAACTTTAAGAAGATATGAATGGATGTTTTCATAGTTTTTATAGACGAGAAGTTGAGTAAATATTTGAAATTCTGAAATGAAACATTGCACACATCTAATATCTCTATCTTTGTTGTTTATATCACAGTTTTTCTTAAGTGTGAATTGCATCTGACAGTTCTTGAGTGCTGCTGCCTAATATTCAGTGAGATTAATGACACTTTAGAGATGACCAAATGGAACACATACCCAAAGACCCATCAGCCAAAATATTGGGATAAAACAACAAAGATGGGTATAATTGTCTCAGTTATTCATGAAAATTTAACTTTATATTGATGGTTTTTATGTACAGTTTCAATTTTCAAATAATTGAATTAAAATTTGTCTTTAATTTTTACTGAGAGGATCATTTGATTAAATGCACATACTACTTTTGTTTAAAGACAGTTTTTCAATAAAACTGAGTAAAAGTTTCCACTATTTCACTAAATTAGAAATGTAGCTCTTAGTTTCTCTCCTGAGACAGGATTTTAATTGCACTTTTAAATATCCTTGGTACACGATTACAGAGTTTATTGTAAATTATATACAACATTAGGAGTCACTTAACACTTTTGGCACCAAAATTTATAGGCCAAGAATAGAACACTAGAAATTCTCCAGACAATAAATAGCATCATTGGAAGGCCATTATTCGTCATCAAAAAATGTGGATAACAAAGTAAATTCAAGGTCTTAATTTCAAAATAGGGGAATGTTATGTAATAAACATCTTTTCACACTCAACAGGTATCAAAATAATTTAGATGTTGAATGTATTAAGACAGTAGATGGTGAATCTTGAAGAGTGGGTAACTTAATAGGAGAATCTGAATGCATTCTTCAACTTTGTAGATGATTTACATTATTTGTTTTTTTACTAAGATAGAGAATGTTTACTTTTAAAGCACAAAGCTTTACTTTGCTAAGAGTCATTCTTTTTACTCAAATAAATAACTTGTATTTGTAGTTAAAAAATTACAAAAACTATTGAATCTTAAAAAGTTATATTTTGATAAAAACTATCAAAAACAAAGGCTTTGCAATGACGCATACAAAAATGAATGATTGATCGATTGAATGAATTCTACATAAATAAATTAATAAAGTATTTTAATTATCTCTTTTTTAAGGTAGTGTTTATTTTAATGTGTCAGCCTCTCCACACTACGGAAAATTACATTCTAAAGAATCTCTCACTACCGAATCAAGTAAGTAAATTTTATATATTTCTAATAACTAGAATATGAAATCTATTATTTAAGTGTTTTAATTTCTTTCAATTTTGACCTGACTATTAAAACATTTTTTGTCATATATATATATATATATATATAGAAAATGCATTTTTCCTCACCATTTATTGTAGGTGGAATTTCTATGCAAAAGAAAAACAGAATTTTCAAGGAAAGTTAGGGAAAAATTTGGACACAAAATTTCTGATTTTCTTTCAGTTTATATTGTTCTATTTAGAATATTAAAACTCATTTTAATTATATATTTTGATTTCAAGTTTATTTAACAACTTCAAATTCCAGTATTATTTCTGTGCATGTAAAAAATTAACAAAAATTATAATCATTTTCTATTTTGTGGCCTTTAAAATTGCTAATTAAGCAATACATATTGCCTTCAAGCAGTACAGCTGTGTTTCCAAATTGTTTAATTTATTTTCCATTGTGAACAAATTTCATTTATTTCCCTTTTATTATCAATACAGTTTCAAGATGATCTTTTAGAAAAGTGCGATTAGAAGTTATAGAAGAATTAATAGAAAACTACAAAACTATGTGCATGTAATAGGCTTCAGTTTTGAGTAGTTTTTCTTTTTGTACTATAGATGTTTGTTTAGCAAAATAGTAATAAGATATAGGATTCTTATTCTATGTACCATGTCCCTTCATGATGTGAGCAATCATGACTCTTAACAATTTCCTATCTTAATTAAGCTCTTGATAAATTTTGTCTTTTCCCTATTTCTCCTTATTCCTGTTCTGCTAATCAATTTACACAAGCTTCTGAGGTAGGTTATGCACTACTTTCCTATATCTCTCTCTGTCTCTTTCCTTCAATATCCCCTTGTCAGTGTCACATTTTCTAATCCCTCTTTCCTCATGATGTGTGTCTAGAAATTTCAACTGCATCTTTCTGGTTCTAAGTGTCTCTAAATCTTCCATGTTACTCACATGTTCAGTCCCTGGTATTCTCACTATCCCTCTGTAGAACTGCATTTCTGTTTCTTCAAGTTTCTTCATCTATAAGGAGGTAGTTCAGTATTCACTGCCATATAGGACCAATATTATATAACAGTTCAGTACTGTTTTCTTTGTTTCTAACAAAAAATACCTGTTTCTTTATACTTTGCTTAGCTTTTGAAAGACAACTTTCACTATCTCAATGTGCCTTTTGGATTTCAGTGTCACATTTTCTGTCCTTTGTTAAAACCCTTCCTAGATATTAAAATTTATGTACTTGCCTGATTTTGGTATGTACAATTTTTAATTCACATGTTGAGTTTTTCCTTTTACTGACAACCATACATTTAGTCTTCTTACAATTGATGATTAGTCCTTTCTTCTTACTTTCCTTTACTACCTTCTGTAGGAGTTTCTATTTGAACTATTTTCATTATTAATTTTTGGTTCAGTAAGCTGTCTGAAATCAGAGTACTTTGGATAGTAAATATTTATGAGCTCCTGGAAGATTTATCCCACAAACAATATTGGAAAAATCAGTGTGAGTCCAAGTAAAAACGAGTAACACAAAACAATATAAAACAAACAACTAATTACATGTATTGGCAAAAAGGAATAATAATTACAATAAAAGAACAAAAAATTTGAAGACTAGTTACATAGAAAATATTTAAACTACAGAATGTTCATTTTTGTGTGTGAAATTTGTGTAGGCCTATGTGACAGACTCATGTGAAAGAGTACAAAATCAAGAGAACCATGAAAATGAATGTTCCCCAGTGTGGGACGCTTTTTTTCCCCCCTGCATGTGACTACATCTTATATCCAGAAGCTGAGGGCACTTTGAGGTGGTGTAATGGTTAGCAAGCTTGTCTTGCTAGAACAATTATGACCGAGTAGTGAGTTTGATCCTCACTGGGTGCCCCATACTTTCAGCCTTGTGCCACATCTAAGCTATGCTTGGAAAATCACTATATCCAGAAGCTGTAAAAGAGAAAAAGGTTAGGGATAAAATTAAACACTTTTTTAATAGGCTTAAGGAGCACCCCCTGGAAACTTTTTTTTTTTTTGTTAGCAAAATCGAGTAGGACAATCCACACTATAATACAGCAATAAGATGGAAGAAAAGCTAGTCAAAAAAATTAATAATGAAAATACTTTCTCTCAGCTTCCAAGTAAGGAAATGATGCTCCTTACAGAATATGTTCTACATATCAATTCAGTGGGAGGATTTCTCTGTTCTTGTACCTATGATTCTTTATCTCACATTTTATATCTATTCAATTTTGATACTGTGAATAGTAAAAATTAGCAATACTGTATCAAACCCAAATATTTCTCCTTTGTTATATTATAGAACATATGTTTTTTTCTCAACAGTTTTTTGATCTATTAAAGCCTAAAGTAATCATCTTTTATTGCATTCAAAGTTGATTCAGAGAAACAAAATCCACTTGATTTTGTCTTGTGGAAAGCAGTGAAACCAGGAGAGCCATTTTGGGAGTCACCCTGGGGAAAAGGCCGCCCTGGATGGCACATAGAATGTTCAGCAATGGCAAGGTAAGTTACTGAAGTGCAAAATGCAAATGTAAATTTAGGTTTTGAATTCTCTATTTGATGACAGATAGGACACATAAACAATAAAGATGCTCTCTCATTTCAGTAAATACTAGTAGTTACTGCTAAGTAGTGACTGAAATGAGGCTCACCTTCTCATATGCAGTGCAAACTAAATTTTTTTACTTGTTTTTTTTTAAATCACCTAGAAATGCCATTAAATAATTCCATGTCATGTGGCACTCTTTAATATTACTTTGTCTAATATCTGGACATTATTTTCAAGAAATATCTATAAATTTGTATATAACTTTCTTGAATTCATTCAAATGTACAACATTTTGAATTAAAATCTTCATTATTCTCTCTCTCCCTTTCTTTATATATATATATATATATATATAATACTAAAAGTCTGTGATTGTGTGCATGTTTGTGTGGGGTGTCTGTCCTGGGCGTCTGATTTAATTAAATAAGGTTTAAAAATATGAGTTGTTTATACAGTAAGTATTGTTATTTTAACTTTCTTCAGACAATTTTTTAATTAAAATATTTTTAGTTAAAGACAAACATAAAGAGATCCCACTTCGCTGTTTATAGAGTAATTATTTATATTTCAGCTTTCTTTAAACAAACAATATTTTAAAAATATTTTTTGGCATATTTAATTCATACAATATTTTGAATATTTAAAAAAATATTTTTAAGTAAATATGATTTAAAACTATTTTTTTTAGCATAATATTTATCCTGGAAGATTTGTTCCTATTAAATACTGTAAACAATCTGTAAAACATTAAACATGAACTTCGTGATGACACAAATGAAGTGAAATATTTAACTGAATCATAATAAAATTAACTTTCATTTCAATGTAATGTTGAAATCAACTTTAATGTTTTATAGCCTGAACCGTCAGTGACCCAACACGTCACGGTAGTCTAGTGTGTGTATGTATGTATGTATGTGTGTGTGTGTGTATATATATATATATATATGTATATACTTTATTTTAGGATATTCCATCAAAAACATTGTTTTTGATAGAATATCCTAAAATAAAGAATATTGCTCTACTATTTATTGAACCCTCTTTTAAATTGGATGTTACAAACGGAATTGAATTTGATTCATTCTCATTTCATATGGAGATATGTGTATGTATATATATATATATATATATATATATATATATATATATATATATATACTGAAACAGAGTGGAAAAGATATTCATCTATGCATTTTGCTTCTTATAGTAAGCATTTTCAAGCTATTATAATGAAGAAGACAGTAAAAGATGTTTAGAATAAAATTTCATTTGTAAAAATTTGTATATATGAGGCTGAAATTGTTGTAAAAGAACTGCCAAAATGAAGCCTGACAGTTTATAAAAAGATACATGTGTAAAATTTGGTTTTGAAAACTTGTAATAAAGAGGCTCAAGTGTTATGGTCTCAAAACCTGTCTAAATAAAGCTTGCAAACAGGTGTGGTTTAAAAAGATACATTTTGTGATTTTTTAACCAATGGGGAAAGTGGGTTACACCCATATAATTTTTAAATCAGAGTCGATTTGTAGCCGTTGAAGAAACCTAGATTGTCTGACAGGCAGAGGAGTCTTAGCATTCATGAGGAAGAGTTGGCTAGTTGCTGGCAGCTAAATTTAGAAGAAAAAGAAAGCAGAAGTGATTAGGCTTTCATGATTGAAAGTGATTGCCATGAATAACTGTAAAAACCGTCAAGGACCTGAACAAAAGAAAAACTAAAAGCTGACATCTACAATGATGATGAAAAGAAAAAAAGCTGAAAGAAAAGGAAAAGAAAGTAACAAAAAAAGAAATAAAAGCAGAAAGAAGATTCTAAAAATTTAGAGAGATATACAGTTATCTTTCTATAGTTTATTGTGAAAGTTTGTCACAAAATTAGAGGTATTAACCTTGATTTTGAACTTTTAATGGATATACAAGATTTATCTCTTTGTAAAAAAAAACTAATTGTCTAAATAAACCAGAAATCCAGCATCACCTTTGAGTAGTTTTTTTTTTTTTTTTTTTTTTAACTTCTTTTCTTAATTGGTATCACCCCAAGCAAGGTAGTACAGCCACTAACATGCAAGGAGTTACAACGTGTGGAGGAATTAAGAACAGAAAAATTAGTAATGAGTAGAAAAAGAAAAGAGCAGTCAAGAGGAAAGTACATAGCAATTGACATTGCATTTAAACTTTTGCAGATTAAAGTTTGCTGGAAAGCATTGGGCCAGAAGAGTTCCACAGATGAGAGGTGTGAGTAAAGAAACTGTCAGCACAGAAGTTACAGCTACATCTAGCTAGCTCAACTCTAAATTGATGAGACCCAGTCTAATATTGCACTTAAATTCATACAATCTAGGTACCATAGCAAAGAGCTCATTTGAACACATCTATGAAAGTATTTACAAAAAAGGCACAGAGAGGCAACTTTATGGCAGTGGGCAAGTGACTGAAGCCAAGCTGCCAGATCAGGACAAATAATATTGCTGATTCTTCTTTGGATCTTATCAAGGAGCTTCAGATAAACAGCAGGGGCACTGGACCATATATGGGAGCAATATTCTAAGCATGGATGAATGGTAGACATAGATATGCAAGATAGATTCCGGAGAGAAAATTAGTCTCACCTGGCACAGTGAACCAACTTTCTTAGCAGCTGACCTAGCAATGGATTTAGTATAGTCTTTCCACTTCATGTCAGCTGAGAACATTAGCCCAAGAAGGTGTAATGAGTCACCAGTCTGCAATTGGGTAGCATGCCACCAGCAGTAAATGCTGGTGGCCTACTGTTGGACTATTGGTGTGTTTGTCTTGGCAGACCGCTAGAGACCCACTGGTGGCTTGCCATTAACCTACAGGTGGCTGTCACCAGAGGACCACTGGCATTGCCATCGACAGCCTGCCATCAACAGCCTGCCATCTTGCCACTAGCAACTGGCTACTGCTACAGGTATCCTAGTCTACTCTACTGTTCTCTACTCTACTCTCTTGTGGTGGGTTGGGTCATTTTTATAATAATGATGGTTAGGATGATGAAATATACTGTTGCAGAATCTATGCTGAGTAAGACGTATCAGAAGGTGATTTTTTTGAAGGCCAAGTATGTGCGTGATCGTATAATGCATTTATCCACAACAAATAAATCAAATAAAAATAAATAGACAATTCAACTTCAAGAAATTACTGAAAACAACGTCATTAGAGATTTCAACAATAACGTGAATTTATATCTATATTTGACATACACAAAGTGATAAAAAGTTGCTTATTAAATGTGGCAAGTGAGATAAGGTTACAAAGATTGTCCATGCAGAAATTTAGTGAGTAAAGGTTGATAGTTTAACTTTGTGGAATTAAAATAGTTTGATATCTGCAAGGAAATTTGTCAATTGTGTAAGTTCAAATGATAGTGTGTATGTGTGTGACAACTGCTAGTGTTGATTTAAGTTATGAAGAGTTGTTCACCTTTAACTGATAAGTTAAAGGCGAACAACTCTTCATAACTTGAAGTTGATTGAATGTACAATTACTGTTTTGTAGTGATAATGTTACTTTTTAGTAAATTACAAGTTAAGTTTCTTCACACGGAAATAGTTGTGTTGAGTTGTTGAGAGGTTGGTAGGGGTTATTGTCAGTGTGTTGGCATGCGTGGGTTCTGCTGGTACCTCTTGAAACTCAGTGTCTGACTAATTTGAATTAAGTTGAGCGATTCTTTTTATAGAATTTCGAGTTTCCAAATAGGCTCCAGGGATGATTGGTTAATGGTTTAATTGGGGAAGAGTGCATCTTCCTGTAGGGGGTGACAGGCAAATGTGGAGGATTCCATAATACTTCTTTTCTATCATCACTGATGACAGTGTTATTTTTAGAATGATGAAATATCATCATTATTCTGGACCCTAACAAAGGTTCTTAGAACGTTTGTTTCATCATTCCTGGCTGATCATCTGTTATCATAATGTGGGATATTTAATAACAAAGATGATGGAAACAAAAAGAAAAAAAACTCTAAATCAAATTTGCTAGGTTATAACCTGTAGCGACTGCTATGCCTTTCCACGCCCACAATTTATTCGTCTGTGATTGGCTAGTAAATCATTACTGCTTTTCTATAAGACAATTTAGCAATCGCAGTCATCACTTTGAATTTTTCGGTTGTGAACTTGCTCACATGTTTCTTTAATACAAAATCAGTAATTGGTCAAATTTTAACCAATCAAACATTTTAATACTAAATCAATTTTTCCCACATTTTCAGGATTTGTTTTGTGGACCCAGTGTGATGCTGGGATCCCATACACAGAAAACAACTTATTTTGTGTTTTGCTTTCTTAGCGTTTACATTTGGCTGACATGTAGTGTGAATCAGAAAGAGATCTATTTGCAGCAGAGTATAAAATACATAAGATCTCATGGTAACAGAAATCAAGTTTTTCAGAGAGATTTCTCAACTGAATAATTATGCACATAAAACAGGTAATGGTTACAGTTTCCCAAGTCATAGTAACTATGGGATTATCATATAGTGAGGTTGGTTTGTATTAGCAAACCTCAAGGTCTGTTTTCCTTTTGTTAGATGGTTAAATCTCAATTTAACCTACCTAGATATGGCCCTAAAATTCTTTTCACTCAAACTCTGTCTTGTCATTGGTGAAAAGAATTGATAATTTTTAGGTTAATAACAAAGAAATATCTGAAAATAATGATTAATTCATTTTTATTGTCTAAAAATTGTTAAGATTCTTTTTTGAATTTTTGAGATGGAGTATTTTCATATATTTTGAGACACTTGTTTTTGTTTTGAGTACATTTCAGCCAATGCATTCTTCAGCCTTCTTCAAAGCTAAGTTACTTAGTACTTGTTTTTATTTCTCTAGTGACTGCAATAAAGTATCAAGTAACTTCTAAAGAAATGTATTAACTGAAATATTGTTTTTAAAACAATAATTTGATTGATTTATTTTTAATGCTTATCAATTCTTTGCAGGTTATTTAAAGCCAGAAAATATTTGCAGATTTTGAGAATTTTTTTTTTTTGAGATAATAATGTTTTAGTGATACAAATCTTACTAATTAATCCATAGCTGGGGGGAGAAGAGGTGGATTCATGCCATTCCCAAGAGTGTTTGCACATAAGTGAATACAACACACCCTACATGAATTGGAACTGAGCTCTCAATTCCATGCCATTATCCAATACACCATCTGCAACTGGTATTCCCAAGGGGTCACCAATCTAGGTACTGACCAGGTTTGATGTTGCTTAAATTTGGTGATTGTATGGGAACTGTTGTTTTTAAAACAAAGATAATATTCTGAAAAATTGTGGCATAATTGAAATATTTCATGTCAAAACTTCAGAAAATATATATGGATTAATTTACTTGCTGAAATATTTAACTATTATTTGAAAACGAAAATTTTTCTTTGATTAAAAATTAATTTCTCAAAGATCATTCTCATAATCATAAGAATTTGAAAATGGCTGCCTTAAATGTGTCTGCGTCGCTAGTGTCTACTTAGTTGATTTATTGAAATCAAAGTAGAATCCTCCAAAAAACATGATCAGAATATTTCATTTTTTTAATTTCATAGTAAAATATTTGGAGATAAAATTGACATCCACAGTGGAGGAGAGGATCTTATTTTTCCTCATCATGAAAATGAAATTGCCCAGTCTGAAGCTCACTATGGTTGTGACCAATGGGTTAATTATTGGCTCCATACAGGTAAAACCATAATGATTTGCAACTTTTCTTTTATAATGTTGAATACCAATTAATATCAAGTAAAATTGCATTTTGCTAAAAGGAGAACACAGAAAAAATGATTTGAAATTTCAATTTAAAGAAAAACAAGAAAACCATTATGTGGCTTGCTCTATAGTTTTTTTTACTCGTGCTACACACACATAATTTTATAATCTCATCTGAACAGAGGATTTTAAAAAACATCCAATATAATTTTATAAATTTCACACACACACACACACACACACACACTTTATGAATTATAAAATATTGATAATAAATAACAACTTTCTATTCTATTTCTATTTTATTGTATTTCAGGTCATGTTTATCTGAGCCAACAAAATGAAAAAATGTCTAAGTCTCTTCAGAATGTCATCTTGATTTCTGATTTCCTTAAGTCTTACACATCTGATCAGTTTCGTATGCTTTGTATGCTGACCCATTACAGGAATAGTAAGTGTTATATATATATTTTTTAAGAATATAATCAATATTAACCATAACTATCAATGAATTCAGTATTAACATCATGGATAATGCACCCCAGCACATCTTTACAATGTGTTTATATAGATTTTAATATTAAGATGTTTTTGTTTAGTTTTCTTTTTTAAACTCAGAACTACCATGCTATCAGCTATAGTAGAGTAACAGTATCCCTCTTAGGGGTACTGTAACATTACAGTACCTCTAAGAGGGGTACTGTTACTAGAGTAGACTGTTAGTAGAGTAACAGTACCCCTCTTAGGGATACTGTAACATTACAGTACCCCTCTTAGGGGTACTGTTACTCTACTATAGCTGATAGCATGGTAGTTTTAGAATAAAATAGAATACTAGTAGCTTTAGCTTTCAGCTGATGCATTAAGTGCCTCTTTCCAATAGACCTTTACCTGTGATGTGTATATATTTTTGATTAAGTCATAAGTCACGTGATGTTGTATGGTGACGTCATAGTCACGTGATAATTGTAGAAATTCTTCTCTTTCAAAGTCGCATTTTCGATGATGCTGAAACCGAAAATTCTTTTCTTTCACATGCAGGCAGGTTACAAAAAGCATGCTTATTGTAGTATATATATATATATATACACTATTGGATTAATTTACCTTCATCCAGAAATTCCAATAATAGATATAGATAGATAATAGATCATATAATATAAATATAACAATATATATATATATATATAGAGTAGAATAGAAAAGAGAATAGAGAGACATCAGTGACTGTGAGAGTAAAGATTTTGAGCGCGGACGCACATAATTCTAAGCTAAGGGGAGATAATTCGTGTTTATATTTTTAATTTAGTACAAGGTTATAGCTGTGGGGCAGTCAGTGGGGTGTGAATTCACTAATGAATTGTTCTACTTGCTAATAATTATGCATTTTGAAAGAGGGGGGTGTCACCCTACAATTTAGCCAGAGATTTTTAAACATTTTCACCATTTACATTATTTTTGTTGATGATTAATATAACTGAATATAATGTTATCAAAAATAATTTCTTCTTTTAATTTAGGAATGGCATATCAGGATAATGTACTTGTGGCTGTAACAAGTCTTTTGCAACAACTAGAGAGTTATTTACAGAATTCTGAGGCTTATATCAAAGGACACTTGAAATGCAAGTCAATCAGTGAAGCTGAAGTTTTCTCCAGGTAATTTTTGATCTTAAAGGCTGTCAATGTCTTTACTTTTAGATAGCAAAATAGTAGTTTTTTTTTTTTTCAGTTCACTAATGTGGAAGCCAAATATCAGTGAGTAACATAACCAAGATGATGCAAATGATTTTCAACACTTCATTTAGATATTTTGAGTATCATTCATAATGCTTTCTTTGTAAAAAAAAAAAAGGATTTGCTGAAAATGTTGCTTATTTTCTTTCATCATTAATGTTAAAATCAATAAACAAAATTATGACAATTTTCATTTATTTTTAAACTCACAATGTCACAATGAAAATCAATCTTTTTAAATGAAACCTAAACTCTTTTTAAATGAAAGCTAAACTCTCCTAATGACATCTAACAACAAAAACCTAAACATTTGGAACAATCTATCTGAATTTTAATGACATTTCCTTTCAGATAATTATGGCTCCTTTTCCTTTTCTTCTTGAGAAATAGTTGTCCTGCTGCCTGAATTCAGAGTTGTCCTTCTCTTAGACTGGCTGTCACCTAAGGTTAGAGAGCCCAGTCTACTCTGTTATTTGAGCCATAGCTGGGGAGAAGAAATGAATCCATGCCTTTCCCAAGAGTATGAGTGTGAAAGTGAATTCAACAGATTTGGATATAATATACTATGAACTTGGTTCATGAATTCCACTTTCCAACTCAGTAACCATTACAACCTCGATGATGTCTAAACTCTAAAAATATTAACATTATCCAAATAATATTTTAACAGATAAATACTTTCCTGGAAATTTTATCAAATTAATAAATATTCTGAATCTTTATAAAAGTTTCACTGAATTTACAATTACACAACAAAATTATATTAATCCTACTTTATTCTTAATTTTTTTCTATTTTTGAAGTTTTTATTAAATATATTTGTTGTTTGTCTCTAAATAAAAAAAATCATACGAGAATTGTCTTTCATATAGAAAAAGATGAGTTGAAATAACTTTATTTCTCAGATGCTATGCAGATGATTATGAAAGTGGTAATTAAAATATATTGATTATTTGGAGGACATGTATAAAATATTAATAAACAAATTCTTGAAACAGGTTTATATCTAATTTATAAATACTTTAAATTTATGCTTGTTCTCTTGAAAGTTGGTTAAAAAGTATGAAAAATTTTCATAAAAAAAGAAAACACACACATACACAATTAAAAATCATAGAAAAGTAAAGTTTGATTGAATAAAGGTATTCTTTTGTAAACAATTTTAAACTCCTTAATAGCTTCCATTAATTATTCTCACAATAATTTTTGTTTGGGGTTTTGTGTTCCAATTTTCCTTTTTATTGAAATAAGATGCAGGATTTAAATTTTTGGATCCCTACACTTGAGTTATAAACATCTTTGTCAGGGAATTTTCTTTCATTTTGTTTTGGTCAACAACTAAATGATAATTCCACCTGTAAGAGATTTTTTGATAGGCCATTAGTTTTTTTTCTGTTCATTAGAATTTGTACCCATTGAAAAAAATAGTTGTTTTTATTTTTTTTTGTTATTTTTTGTCCATTAAAATTTATTGTTAATGAAATAATGTTAATTTGTAATGGCTGATAAAAGTGAAAATGATTTTAGTAATTGATCATAAGTTTCATTTCATGATATGGACTCTCACAAAGAAGGCTGCAATCAGCTAAAGTCTTCAGAGTATATTGCTAATTCCATTTTTAATCTTGACTATTGACGCAGAATGAATTATGGTCCCACTTATGATCCTACCTTTCCATGATCTTGTTTTAGTGGGGACCTAAGTGTGAAAAATAATATCAGTGATATTCCCTTAAATTTTTTCAATATCTATTTTAAACTGTTAAATCATATTTGTGAAGAAACCAATAAATTTGCCACTCCAATCTGTATTACAAATTGGAAAGACATCACATGCAGAATTCACAAGTGCTTTTGATATGTGATACTCACTAGCATAAATAAGTGGGTTGGGTTGAAATTTTCAGGTTAATAACTACAACATAGACCTGAAGAAAGCCAGAGTGTACAATAGCTGAAATATTGTGACTATAACAACCATAATAAGGACACTCATCTGAGTATTAATGTATATTTACACTAAATATTTTGAAATTAGAAATAAATTAACAATCTCTAATATATATTTCCAATAAAAATTGAATTAGATTATTGTTGTATTCATTTGGGAGGAGAATTTGGAAGAGGCCTTTGAAAGAAAGCTGGAAAAATACCAGGAGCTGGTTGAAAAATGCAGGTCTAACCAGTGGTGGACTACCTGTCTTCTGATTGGAATCAGATGACATGGTTTTTCAGGAAGATCTTTATGCAGAACTCTGTTGGCTTGGAGTCAGGGAAGTTAAAAAGGGAAAGGCCATCAGGACTATTTCAGAATCTGCAGAGAAAGCCTCAAAATAGCTATTGATTAAAAGATCTGATCCATGAAGTTCTACAACGGAGATTGGCAGGTGTTGCAGTGCTGTTGGAAGGGATAAAAAAAATAGAAATATGTTTGATTGGGAGAGTCGGGTTTTTTTTGTTTTTGTTTTTTTACCTATTCCTCAACAACGTCTTGGTATTTATAGTACAGGCAGTTTTTTTTCTGTCTAGCAAGAAAATGGAAAGAAGGGAAAAAAATCGTTTCTGATCATAATTCCTATGACTAGCAAATGTGTATGACTTTTTTATTTTTTTATGTGGAATATTGTTTCATAGGAGATCCAAATATTCCTGGCTACAAGTAGAAATTACTTATCTGTTATGTCAAGTAGTGTTGATTGAGGGTGTGGGTCTTTCTGCGTGTTGGACCTAAGAGGGAAAAGACAAGCATTCAGATTGTTCTCTTTTTATCTCGTCTTGGCTGAGGAGGAAGTGACGAAGGGTGTTTCTGATTGGTCGCTTGCTATTTCAAGATCAGCAGTGACAGTTCTTTATATGTTCATTGTTGTGTGCTTGGTGAATTTTTGCTTCAGGATCACCTGCTGAAAGAGGTATTGTTCTGGTAGTGTTGCTTAGGTGAAGTGGTATTATGTTGAAAGACCCAAAACTTGTCATGACCCCAAGTCATAACATTACTGATGAGGTGATCCTGCACACCCATTGGAGTGTATTCATAACAAAACCTACAAAATTTCTTTTTCTAAGAATGAAATTGATGTAGGACAACTATAATTGGATATTTTGTCAAACTTTGTTGTGATTAAATTTTTTTTTTAATCATTTCATCCCAAAAAAGGCAGAAATGCCACTAGGATGCAGGGGGGTATAGAGAATGAAGAAGAGAGAAAAGACTGGATATAGAGGGAACCAAGGAACGGATAAAAGCTGAATGGGTCGCAAGAAGATAGAAGATGGCAATTGACATTGCATTTAAATTTTTGAAGATTGTAGTTATCAGGGAAAGGAATTCCACAGGCAGGAAGTATGAGAAAAGAAACTGTTGGAGTAGAAGTGGCAGTTACATCTACATATTCAACAGTCTAGTAGACAACTTAAATTAGTAAAATCACATGGACAGTTTTTAATAGTCTACATGGCTAGCATAACATCAAAGATCTGTTTGATTATCCCAGTGAAAAAATCATTTTTGTTATCTGTTGAATTTTAAAACAGAAATATGTGTTGTCTTTTTTCTTTGCTGTTAATAAATAAAACTGGTTATATCAGTTATTACCAATAAAAATCTTATTAAAAAGTAAATATGATGACATAATGGAAAATATATCAGTGTCAGAAAAGTAATAAATATTTTTTTCAAAATGTTTAAAGTAACATTAAACTAGAAATTACCAGCTTGAAAGCAGTGGGAGAAAAAGAAAACAACCTTTTATTAAAAGCCAGAATAAAGTTTTGCAAGAAATTGCAAAATATGAATATTTTAAAATCAGTTTCCCTATTGATTTGCTACATATTTAATTATCTGTTTAATGTTTTATTTTAGTGGTTATTTTATTGATAAACCAATGTTTTGTATTTGATTTTTTTTTTAAATTTTATTATAGACTGGAAAGAACCAAAACGGAAGTGAAAATAGCCTTAGCTGATGATTTCAACACTCCAAAAGCAATGAAAAATATTTTGGAATTGGTCCAATTTTTAAATAGTCAATTGTCTACTTCCAAGGTACAGCAATTTAATGGCTACTACTTTTATTTTGCTTCTCCTAAATGCCCATATTTTAAAATTTTCATTTGAATATTTGAAAAATATTTTTGATAGGCTACATAAAGGTTCTAACTTTTGCTCTTAAGGATTTGAGAAAATGTGTGTCATTTATTGTGTTTCAATGTGACATTATGTTTTTAAGTCTCTAAAACAGCAGAAATTACCTTCTTATAGCACAAAATCAAAATAGTGAAGCATATAGTTTCATTAGATAAAGGTCAACATGACTAAATTACTAGTCATTGTCCTATATTAGATGCTCAAGGTAGATATTTACAAAGCTTAGTCTTGCATGGGACGTGTGATCAAAGCATCCAGTTTACAATTAATATTCACCACATTAACAATAATCAATGAGATTAACTTGCTGACTAAAGATAACATTTGCCCTCTAAACTATGATATATAATTACTTATCTAAGATTGGTTTACCAAAAGGTTAAATGAAAGGAAATGGAGTTGGATTGTAGCAAGATATTGTTGAACCAATCTTTAAAGTCAAGAACATCTGCTGACATGCCTTGAAAATTTGTATTCAAATTTTTGGCCTTTTATCTGAGCTTGAACACAAACCACCATTACTGGTTAAAAATACAATCATTTTGGTGAGGTGGACCTGCCTTGTTGAAAATCAGCATTTAAAAAACTGAATTTCAACAAGTGGGGAAAATATGCAACTACTTAAGCCACCAAACAAATTCACAACAAATATAGATATTTATAAAGTTTAGTTTAGTCTAACACAATGACAAATTAGAAAAAAATGGAAGTAGGAAAATTATGTTGTATCAGTCTACCAAGAGAGAGTGGAGCTCATCTGCCTTGAAAATCAGCAATCAAAATGTTGGCTTTAAATACAGGTGGGGCTCATGGAACTACCATGCAATTACTTTGGCTACTAAACAGTCTTATGTCATTATTCTTTCTCTCTCTCATATATTGATAGATAGTATACAACAGGTTTTACAGATATTAAACTCATCTTAGGCAGAAGTTTCAATCAGTACATAAATAGTGATATTAGTTTTGATGAGTTCTATGTGTGAACAGGCACGTGACATAATAAAGGCAATATCAACAAAGCAAAATTTTCATGAACTTGAAGTTCAAAATGAGTCAAATTTTTAATTGGCAAACAGGAAAACTTTTTAAAAATTTTACTCCTTAAATAATGGACGTTTTTTTCTACTTGTAAACACTGAAGCAATTCATCTGAAAAAAAATTTCTTCTTTTCAGGAGAACATTATCTGTAGCCGAAGTCCTGTTTCTGTTGCAGCTGCTTCTCTTTATATAAAAAATATTTTTAAAATATTAGGAATTAATTTAGGCCAACAGGAGGTAAGGATATTGAACTTATTTATAATAGAGTATGTAAATTATTGTTTAGATTTTTTTCTGCATTGTATTGAATTTATATTAATATAACAAAACATGCAAATTTGTAAAATGTTCTAAGATATACAAATAAAAAGTATTTTATTTAAAAAATGTCATTTCAAAATAATTTGTCTTTCTACAGAATTGTGGAAATTTCTCTCAACATTTTATGCAAGAATTCGTATAAAGTAAAAATGTTTTCTGCATTCTAAAAAGACTGGCAAAATTTAATAACAATTTTGCTTCAATTCAATGTACACTCTTAGTTTATAGATATTTACTGAACATAGTGGGGAACCCATTGAATATGGAATTCATTATACTAATTATTATGAGATAATTTTGCAATACATTGCTCTACAGCAGGCACTCTAGACATTTACTAAACTCAATTTAGTCTGACACAAGATTAACATAGTTATACACCCATTGCTAAGCTAGCTAACTAACTATTAAACACAGTTTTGATACCAGAAATGATCTAATTCAATTCAAAACTCCTCATATTCCCACAAGAAAGTAAAACTGAGTTAAAATGATGATTAAAATATCCATGTGAAGAATAAGTATGAAATCCCTATGTCATCTTTGACTAATACAAATGTCTGCCAAGTGATATTAATCAAGTTCTGCATAAGAAGACATTAGTATGAGATGTATACAGCCATTTTGAATATCTTGAGAAGCTGTTTCATAGCCTTGATGTACTTTGGCAACCAATCAGATAGGATCATATTACAGTTGCTTGAACAGACACTCATTATCTGGCAGGAAGATGTCATTGATACTGTACAAATGATGCATTCACATGCAAGTATTTTTTTTATTTTTATTTTTTTTACAAAGCTTTACATCACCCAGGTTTATCAGTCACTATGCAATCTAAATTTGACTCCTTGTAACTTCTGGCATTTCCCAAATCTAAAATCACCATTAAAATCCCACAGACAAAATGAAGGAAAAACATAATGATGCAGTTGATGGCATGAAAGAAAATTTTACAGAGTATTTTGAAAAGTAGAAAGGACATATGTGTGTAAGGTTCCAAGGATAATACTTTCAAGTGAACTAAGGGACTATGGCCTTAGGAAAGCTATTTTTTCTTTTATCATAAATGACTTGTATACATTCTAAAAAGACCTAGTAATATATGCAAAATGATTTTAGAATGTTTTAGTATAAAAAATTGCATTAAAATTCTTAATTCTGTTTTCATTTAATATAAACAGTAATTCATTTTTTTTATTTTTCAGAATTCCTTAGAAAGCAGCTTTCTGCAACATCAAATGTCTTGTGTGTTGGATAGCTCTTTAAAATTTAGGAATGAAGTTCGGCAGTTTATTTTTGATCCTCCTAAAGATTTGTCCTTTGGTACAGGTAAAATGTTTCTTAATTTGGAAAGGTGGAGGTGTATCTGTCTTTAGACAGATACACCTACTTTTATTTATTTATTTATTTTTTTTAAACATTTCACCCCAAGCAAGGCAGGAATGCCACAGAGAATGAAAGTGAGAGAAAAGACTGATTATAGGCAGGATTGAGGAAAGGATAATAGATGAACAAGATTCAAGAAGATAGAAGATGGTGATTGAAGATTGTAGTTTTCAGAGAAGTAAGTAAATGGTGGGAAGTTTGAGAAAAGAAATTATTGGAGTAGAAGTGGTAGTTACATTTAGCTATTTCAACATTAAAAGGGTGGGACCTAGATGCCAATCTAGTAGTGCAAGAGAGAAGCCACGTCATGTCATTGAAAAAGTGGCTGAAGTCAAAATGCCAAGTCATGATCAATTACATTGCAGATCCTTCTTTGAATTTTGTCAAGAACATCGAGATGAAGAGCTGGAGCACCAGACCAGATATGGCAACAATGACTGAATGGTAGATTTGTAAATGTGCAACTTTCCTTGCAGTAGATGCAGCTATTTATTCAATGTAGTCATTCTACTTCAAGTCAGTTGAAAATGTGAGGCCAAGAAGGTGCAGTGTGTTACTCTCCAGGAGTCTAGCATCAGATGGCAGACAGGAAAATTTCTCTATGGTTGTTAAATGAGAGCAGTTTCATTTTGGAAGCATTAAAATTTACAAGCCATTTCCTACCCCAGTTAACCTGGCTGCTGCTCTTTTCAAAAATCAGCTCTGACTGATTTTCTATTGTATGGTACTTGGGAACTGAAGATCATTGAAGATTAGAAACAGTGTAGGATGCAGAATAGAGCCTTGGGGGGCACCTGCATTTGTGTGAAAGGATCTGGAAGCAAGCCCATTCAAAACAACCTTCATTTTGAAATTTTATAGGAATGATTGGATTAAATCAAACAATCATCCTGTAATACTGCAGCCCTGGAGCTTATGTAGAAGATTAGCATGCCAACCCCATCAAACACCTTCAAGATATCTAGAGCCACAGCTCAAGTTTCACCATTATCATCAAGAGCTTGATTCAGTAATGGTCGTTATCACATCAGCCTGGCAAAATGGAAGCCATATTGTTTTTCAGAAAGTAGTTCATGAGAGATAAGATGCTTAACCACTTCAGCATTGATTAGAGCCTCGAATACTTTGGCAAAAAGCAGTAGCAGACTAATAGGGCAATAAGTCAGAAGGTTCTCCAGAGTTCTTAAAAACAGGAACTACAGAGGAGGACTTCCAACAAGCTGGAAAGCGGGAAGCAGCGAGGCAATAGTTGTAGAGTTTGAGATCCTGTCATCTCTGCTGGAATTCATCACATCCACTTGCCTTATTGGAATCTAATTTAGGAATGATGTCTGAGACCAGTGATGGGGTTATATCATGTGTGGGTACTCCAAATGAGTGGAGTGTTGAATTGGAAGAGAATTTCCAAGCAAAGCATTCAACATTATCTGCTTCAAATTGATTGAATAGAGGAGGGATTGAGGACTTGCTGGGAAGAGCTGCTAATAATCTTTAAAACTGAACTTGCGAGATGCTATACGTTGTTTTATTCTATCAGTAAACAGTAGCTTTGCTTCTTTGAGGACATGCTTGCACTCATTACGAACAGAGACGTCTATTGCAATCGGACGTGTTGCTCTGTTACAGTTGGATGAAGTGATTTCTGTAGGATATAGTGGCCCAGCATGCAGATAAGAACCAAGAAAATGGACACGATTTAACTTTGTATTTCCTTGCTGAAATAAAAGCATTGATACAGGAGGAGACTACAGATGCACATTTTTGATCAGGATGATTAAAAACTTTGTTCCAAGAAACATCATGAAGGAAATCACAGAATGAGTCCCAATCCATTTATCGATAACAGAAAAATATTCTGTTGGTAGGAGGTTCTTGGTTGGTGGAGGAGTGGAAAGAGATGTTTACAGACACTACCACATGATCAGAGTTGCCAAGAGGGCAGAGCTGCATAGTACGACATGAGTCAATGATAGAGGTAAAAAAAAGATCTGGAAGTAAAGCATCTCCATCAAGGTTATTGGGGAAATGCATGGGGAAGTCCACCATTTATGTGAGAGATTGAGAAGTTCAGGGTTTGGATGCTAGTGAGGTCAGTGACAGCGTACTTAAGCCACCTGGCATGACAGGCATTAAATTCACTGAACACAAATATATTTGCAAACAGGTGTAGGAAAATGGCCTTGTCTATATTATCAGAAATACTATCTCATGTGCAACAGTCAAGAGAGAAAGGGGAACAGTAGAGAAAGAAGAGATAGCTGACTGAGTTGTTGTTTGATGTTGCCGGGACTTCGTGGACACCAAGGACAGTGAAGGTGCTGCATGATTCATGTCATCTCACAGAAGTTCTTATACACTTCACATGTGAAGTGGTTGCCATGGTCTTAATAAGGTAGCTCCAAGTGATGGAAGGAAAATTGGTAGAGTCCATGAGTCACATTGATTGCACGGTTCCTGGCACAGGGAATGGCTGTAAGATTATGGCTAAAGCTGTCCAAAATTATTAAGATATTTGGAAGTGGCATTGTGAGGAAGTCTGTGTATATGACCTCAAAAGGTTTTTTTGCCTCATTTGCAATGTCCACTGGGTCAGTTTGGATTCTTGCTTTAATTCCCCTTGTGTCCCAGGCATGATTCAACGTATACCATAATGTTGTGGTTTTTGAACTCCCACCAATAGTTTGATAAGCTAGTGAGCATCCGAGTGATACCAGAGTGATTGATGCAGCTATGGGCTTGGTGAAAGTATTTGAGTCAGAGCTTGTACAGTATGATAAGTTTGGGTATATTTTTTGAGTTTTTCAGCATCAAGATAGATGTCTCTGGTTCTAGATTGTAGGTGTTTTTGATAGATCTCTGCCTAGTGGTCACTGGTATCAATCGTGATGGTGAGTGTAGACACTTTGCTTGAGTCCACCACTTGTAGGGCTTTGATGATCCTTGCATCATACTGTAGGAAGCTTGCTCAGCTGCAATGTTAATGTGGTTGGATACCTCCTCTGTAAGGATGGTTGAGGTGGTGTGGCAGGCAAAAAATGTATCTGTGAAGTTTGTGGTTCTGTGGCATGTTTTGGCACAGGGAGCAATTGTGCACCTTTAATTTCTCCAAGACACTACAATGGGACGTAGATAAAAAGATCAGTTTCCTGAAGTGGGAATGTTTTGCCCGCTGCAGTCAGATTGGCTTCTTTAGGCCATACACTCTGCTGAGCATGTCAGCCCAAATGTTCAAGCTGCTGTTATAATATTCCTAAAACCAAATCTTCTTCTGAATCATGTTACACAAATTTCCACCACTGGCCGAATGTGAATGCTCCAAACACCCAAGACTGAACTAAAAATTCTATCAACTGCACATCAACTTCGCACATAGCTTCCATTTTACTTACACACTCAAAGAAAAATATCCAGAATTTCCACCAAATAGCACCAACTCCCACCTAAAGAAACAAAATAAAAATTGGAGCCAATCTGAGCCTAAAAAAAAAGGACATAAAAAAAAGAGACATCTCCAGTAGTCAGAGACAGCACAACAGCCAGGATTCATAACGCTCATCAGAACGCAACCTTTCATCTCCAAAGACAACTTGCCAAAGGCCATCGCCACAGTAAGTCACAACTCACCCTCCCTCTCCTACCATCCTACCTGACTTTTATGATTCTACTTATCTCTTTCTTTCAACAAGAGACATTTACACCAATTTACTATTTGTTGTATTTTTATGTTAATAATACAATTGTTTATTTCTTAAACATCCATCATTTCTTCTTTGTTCTGCCACCATACGCTTAATATAACAACTGGTGTCAGCTGGAACAAGAAGATAGACTACACCACATTTACTCATCACAAAATGCTAGAATTAATCAAACAGCAACAAGCAACCAAACTGAAAACAGACCTGAAATTCACAAACAAGCAACAAGCCAGAATCACTGATGAACTTCAAGCAGAACTTCAGGAAATGCTGATCACTCCCACCTCTGCCTCCATTGGGATTGCGCACATGTCCCAGACCTCAACAAACTACAAATTGCTCATGCAACTACAATACTATGTGCTATGTGCAACGTAAAATGTTTCTATCTGGTAATGATGTCAATTGGTTCATAACTGATTTAAACAATGTATACACAATCCATGTAAAATCCAAGCTTGCACATTATCCAAGGATAGAAATTGAGTTTGTTAAAATCACTAAGCAACTTCTTGACATGAGATTCCAACAGATGGAGGATTTGCAACAGACCATGTCATCATACGAGCAGTTGAGGACCTACCTGCTAAGAACCCACGGGAGTTAAATGATGAACAATCACCACCTCAGCTGAGTTGCAACAACGTGACAGCAAAAAGGATCACTGATTTTGCAGGCCAGCTTGGGACCATGATCAGAGAAGCAGCAATCCATATAAAGGTTTAGTTTCAGTCGAACAACAGCAACTCTGAAGTGAGTGCCAACACTGTTTTTTTTATCTCATGGGTGCAATGCCCATGAACAAAAAAATTAAGGCCTGTGCTCCAAATATATACCCTCACCTCGTAAAGACGATGAATAGCCACCACTCAGTGGTATAGCAAGTGATGCCCAACCCTATCTCGACCACAGCATAAAAAAACGACAGTATACCCAACCTCACTGCAGACATAATGTACATTGCAACCGTATATGCAAACATACCTACAATGTCCTCAGAACAACAAACTAATTTCATTAAACGGATTTTCAGTGTGGACCAGACAAAATGTGATAGTCCCTGATCCAGAATATTAACAAACACCATCACCTCTTCAACTTCCAGCATACACACTCGCACTGATCTCCTTTCACAAAAATAGACATCACTATCAGCAATTTCACTTTCTCTGAGATAGGCATGCTAGACTCAGGGTGCACTACTTGTATCATACATATCTCCCGCCTGCCTGAGCAAGCAAGGAAAACACATGCAAACATCAAATACACACACAACTGGAATTGGTGGTGATGTTTCCATCATTGGCAAAATAATCGGCGATATCAGTTTGGGTGACACCAGCTCACCCACATTCCAGAACATGAATATACTGGTTACTAATGCCACTATACCAATCCTTGTCAGTCAGAATGCTTTATGTCACGATACACTAGCATTATACACCATAAACAATTGAGATGCTACAGTCGAATTTCACTGAGCCTTGCCATCAGGTGACATAACCCATACAGCACCTCTGATCTCAGTCACTAGCCTGGCAATACCTCACATCTCCACACCCATATATGTAGTCCAACCCGTTATGAAACCACAGTCCTTAGAGCAAAAACTTGACTGGCTTAGAAAAAACACAGGCATATCCTCTCTGCTCACCCCAACCACAATGAACTAGAAGTCACAGCAGCCCTTCTCCTCAAATATGCCAATATAATCAATAATGACAACAATCAAGGCACATTCGTTAAGCTAGTGTGCATACACACTAATCCTGCAGCCAAAAACAACACCCGATCACATAGGCACTAGAAGCTGATGTTGACATTGAAATTCAACATATGGCCACTGAAGGGATCATCGAACTCTGCTCTGACTTCAACAGCCCTGTCTTTGCTGTCCGAAAGGAAAATGGATGAATCTGTGTAGTGGCCAATTTCAAGACACCCTCAACAAGGTACTCACAGATTTAGACCTGTATCCAGTGCCCATGATTGATTCTATTTTTAACAAGATAGGTGAGGGAAACAAATACTTTTCATCCCTCGATTTCCACAGTAGATACTGGCAAATCCCCATCAATGAACGTGACCGCCACAAAACTGCATTGACCTGGAAGGGTCAATATTACCAATATACCTGCCTAGCCTTCAGTCTAACATCTGCTGGTCAAATCTTTTCTCGATGCATAACCGAGGCATTGACCACTGTCACTTCACAGGAGAACATCTTGTCATACATTGACGACAACCTCATCCACACCGAAATCTTTCATGACTACATCAGCATGCTGGGACACCTATTCATCACTCATCAAAAATTTGGACTGAATCTCAACCACGAGAAGTGCACCTTTCTCACTCCAGAAGCCAAATTTCTCAGCATTATTATCAACAAGTGAAAGGTTCAGACCCAACCCAGAATACATTCATGCCATTTTCAAGATGAAGCAACCAACTACAAGAAAGGAGCTGCAAAGTCTCATAGGATGTCTCATCTGGATACGCCAATTTCTGGAGACTTGTCTTTATGAACAAATCAAGACAGTTACATGTTCCCACTTGATGGCCCCCCTTTACATGAACTCAACTGGGCCAACAAGTCTTTTGTTTGGACAGAAAAGGCAGACAAGGCTTTTGAAAAAATTAAGAGATGCTTATCATCACCACCAGGTATGCCCTCATCTGCTCATACAAGGACGTGCTCTGTTGTGAATTCTCCATCTGCTAGAATATGCCCTGATTGAATAGTTGTTTAGTGATTTTTATAAATTCAGTTTCCATTCTTGGGTAATGTGTGAGCTTGAGTTTTACATGGCTTATGTATGCCTTGTTCAAATCAGTTATGAACCAATTGATGTTGTTTTACATCACACATAGTGTCACATATAGAGTTGAGGTCTGGGACGTGCGCAGTGCCGGCAGAGGCAGAGTTGAGAATAGTCAGCATTTCCTGTAATTCTGTCTGAAGTTCATCAGCAATTCTGGCTTGTGGATTTTTGGTCTGTTTTCAGTTTGTTAACATTTGCTCATTGCTGTTTGATTAGCGCTCTATCATTTCATGGTGAGTAAACACACTGTAGTCCATCTTCTTGTTCTGGCCGCATGCTTCTGACACCAGGACTTATGATAAGTGTCTGGTGGCAGAACAAAGAAGAAACAATGAAAGTTTAAAGAAATAAACAATTTTATTAACATAAAATACAAAAAATAATAAATTAGTGTAGATGTCTCACATTGAAAAAACAGATAAGTGGAGTTGTAAAAGGTGTCTGCTGAGGTGTATCAAAGAAGAATGAGTTATGACTTACTGGGCTGACAGACTTTGGCAAGCTGTCTCTTGAAGATGGGACATTGCTTTCTGATAAAGTCTGTGAACCCAGCACATGAGGTCATCTAACTGTCAAAAATGTCTCTTTGATGGGCTTTTATGTCCTTTCTTAGGCTCAGATCAGCTCCAGTTTTTATTTTGTTTCTTTAGGTGGGAGTGTGTGCTATTGGTTGGAAATTCGTGATTGTATTGCTTATTTTTTCTTTGAGTGTGTGAGTAAAAACTGAAAATATATTCAGAACCTTGTACAATTGATGAAATTTTAATTCAGTTTTGGGTGTTCAGAGCATTTGCATCCAGGCAGGGGTGGAAATTAGTGTAGCATGAATCAGAAGATCTGGTTTTAGGAAGAATGTAACAAGTAGAATTGTTCAGATTATTTAATCTGTGAGGGAAACCAAATACATAACTTGGATAAAGATTGAGAAAATTGAAGGAAATGGCATGCACTAACTTGATACTAGTATGGATTAGTTTGTCCAAATTGGATCAATGTTGGAAAGAATCCCTATACCTGTATCAGCTGCAGTAACCAGATTATGAGGCTGCTGTATTAAAGAAGCACAAGTCATACTTAAAATTAAAAAAAAACAATGGTTCTCTGTAAATGATTCTAACCTTGAGAAAGATCAATCTTCAAACCATTGACTTTTTCTTATATACCAAAAATGTGTAAAAACAAAATTATTATTTCAAATTTTTTTTTAAAAAGGGTGAAGGTTTTTCATTCAAACATAAAAAGTCAAGTGTAACAATTTATTGTTATGTTCATTTGTTAGTGAATAAATATAATGTTTGTTACTATATCCTTTTGTTATCATTTGGAGTGTATAACTGTTAATGGTATACAATCATTGAACTGAGTTCAAACTCTAGCTGGAGCAATTTGCTTTCACTTTGCTCTGATATCAAAAATAATTGTGACAGATGAAGAAACTTATCCAAACAAATTTTAGCACAAAATAAAAATTTAATGTTTTCATGAAGGATAATCATTGGCTAAAATTTTTACAAAACTCTAATTTGAAATTTTTAAAAATAAAACAAAAAATGGAGTACTTAGTTAATGAAACTTGATATTTTCTCAGTAAATTCAGAAGCAACCAGGTAAACTTGCAGTATAAATGTATAGTCTTAATGGAATACTTCATCAGCAACAGATGAAAATGTTTTTCATTTGGACATTTCAAGAGTTTCAAATTAGATCTTAAGGTTTATTTTCAAACTTACTCTATGGAACCGTTATGTATTGATTGAAATTTCCTTTCTAAACTTGATTGTGAGAAAAAAAACTATTTCAAACCTAAGTCATAATGACTGAGAATAAAAAATCTTTCTGACTGTACAGTCATTTTAGATGATGTATTTGATTACAGATTTCTTGAATTATCTAATTAGGTACAAGTATTGGCAGTGTGAATAAACATTAGGCCCCCAGAAATGACAAAAGACCTGAGAGTTTTTTTTTTTATTATTTTTTTAAGTAAAAATTTCATCCCCTATTTCTAGTTTTATTTTCTAGTTTGTCTTTTTTATGTTGGCCATGCAAAAAATATCCTCATTAAAGATGATTGCAGATTTCATAAAACATTGTAACCAGATGATATTCTAAATATTTCTGTATATTTCAGATTATGAGAAACTGACTTCCAAAGAGCAAAAGAAGAAAAAGTTTCAGATATTTCAACCTCTCCTTAAATCATCAGACAATTTACGGAAAGAATATTCTTCAGCTAACATACAAGTTATGGTAAGTCTATACAGATATTCTTTGTTGTTTTTTTTGCCATATTTAAATTTTTCTTTTGACTTTTTTTATGACTTGTTTCTGACTGATAAATTTAATATTTTTTTTACTTTTTCAAATTCAGTTTTTATATTTGAAAGTAACTTTTTTGTACTAAACATGTGGGATTACAAACTGAACCCTCTATTTAATCTATAGGAGGAGGTTGTTTCCATTTCACTGCTCATATTTAGGGATTTTCTCTTGTTCCTTTTTAGTACTACTCAGTTATTGTTGGTCTTAAAACAATGCTAGAACTGGTAGGGCTAAAAAAAAAGGAACAAGACAAAATATTCTTTGTTTTGTAATGCCCATTTGTAGGGGAGACTTTGTAAATCACAAACACAATAATAGTAATGCCTTCGAACAATACTCGGTCAGACACTGCCAATTCCCATATATATATATTTTCTTTTACCCGTCATGTGATCTAATTATTTCAAGATGAGGTTGACTGTGCTTGCTCTCTGGCGATCCGTGTTCAAACCCAAATGTCAACAGCAACACTTTACTCCTATATAACACCTCCCCTTTGAGATGACTTCCTCTGAAGTCTATTTTTTTCAGTTTTGGTTCAATATTTAGAAATTCTGTTGCTATTCTTTTCCTCTTACCATAAAACCTTGGTTCAACAATTTCTGATGGCATGAGAACATCAAATGTGTCATTTTAGCAGACTTTTTAAATCAGTGAATATGCGTTTTAACTGATTACGGTGTCGCTTATGTTCCCACCATTGTCCCTGTACCATGTATGCCATTTTGCTGATCCATTTTTTTATAAAGCCAACTTCCCAGGATTATTTTCCACATTGATACATTTTAAAAAATACCTTATCTCCAGGTTTGAAGTTATATTCTTATTTCTTGATGGTCTTGCCTTATGTTCTGGAAATAATTTATTAAAAACTAACTTAATCTTCCTGGCAAACATCAACTCTGCAGGTGACATTCCAGACACGATGTTCAGGTTTGGTGTTATTTTGAAATCACTCAGAAATTGACTCAGTTGACTCCTCTCCCTCCAACTTTTTAATGCCCTTTTAAATGTATTGACAAACCATTCTGCTTGTGCATTTGATCTTGGGTGATAAGTTCTTCCATTTGCTGTACTCTGCTGAATATTTTGTAGATTAATTTTTGAATAACTTCACCTGGTTATTTCTCTGTAGTCCTGCAAATATGACATCCCTTTGGTGAAGTGGTAGATATTACTGAATATCCTATTATGACATGTAGGATGCGTAGATTTTATTTATTTCCTCATGTAAGCTCAACGAATACTCATCACCACTTGTAGGAGAGACTTTGTAAATCACAGATACAATAATAGTAAAGCCTTCAAACAATACTTGGTCAGACACTGCCAATTCCCATTTATATATTTTTCTTTTAACCATCACATGATCTAATTATTTCAAGATGAGGTTGACTGTGCTTGCTCTCTGGTGATTTGTATTCAAACCCAAATGTTGGCAGTGACACTTTATTCTTATATGACACTTTATTAAACTTTGTAAATATCATACTTAAAAAAAAAGCACATATTTTATCAACAGATGTCAAATTAAAGAAATTTGAAAGAAAATATTAGGTTGTGCCCAATTATAAAATTTAAAACAAAACTTCACATACTCACAAAAAACATTTATTTGTCAAATAGATAGTTTCCATTGTTTTTAACAATTGTCTCACAGCTTGTTGATGCCATTTTCGTAGTGGTCTTTATTGGAAGAAGGTTTGTGAGTAGTTTTTGACTAACTGTATAGAGTCAAATTTTTTGTCATTTGAAATGTTCTTTAGAGACTGAAACAAATGAAAATCTGAAGGAGCCATGGTAGGAAAATATGGTGGGTGCTGGTGGGTGGGTGTTTCTATTCAACACTTTAATCTTCTGCAAGGTTTGCTTTGTGGATTTGCATTGTCATAGTGGAAAATGACACCATATCGACTGTTTTTTTTTTGTTAATACTTGCATTGAGATTGGTGAGTTAGTCACAATACTTCTCTGCATTTATTGTTTTGCTGGCTGGAAGAAATTCAAAGTGAATTATTCCACCAAATAGACAGCAACAACTTTATTCAATGCTAGCCCACTTTAGCCATGGATTCTGCACATTCACAAGTTTCTTTACAAGCTCCATTTGTGTTGAGCTTTATCATAAATAATCCATTGTTAATCACCTGTAACAATTCTGTCCAAGAGCACTTCCTTTTCATAGTGTAACAGCAAAGAAATCGCTGCAGAAACACAACTGAGTTTGTTTTGTCCCTTTAAAGAATGTTGCACCCACATGTCAAGGTTGGAAACTAACCCAAGTCACTTCAAATGGCAAAAGACAGTTGAGATATCAATTTCCAAACTTTTAGCAATTTCTTCTGTAAAGATTTTTGGTTTATTCTCCATGATGGCAATCAGAGCATCTTCATCAATGTCAGAAGCTCATCCAGAGCGTCGTTGATTGTTTAGGTTAAAATCACTCTGACAAAATCTGTCAAACTACTTTTTGATTATCCAAAAAGCTGGAGCACAATCCAAATAAACCTTCTGAATGCCTTTTGTCACAGTTCCGACATTTACTCTTTTCTGAAATTCATAGAACATAATATAGCAAAAATGCAACTTTTCATCCTGTATCTTTAAGGCCAAACATTAGCATTCAACAAAGTTTATATCACAAGGTTTCAAACTAGATTTCAGAAATCAGTACCAAAATAGATACCATTGTCGAGTTGCACTCATCTCATATTAACAATGAAAATTGACACAGACTTTTGCAATGATCTGATGATCTTGTTTATGTCTGCATTTGAGCAGATATATCAATGATCAGACAGTACAAATCATAATATCGCTGGTTCAATTCACCGTCCTTTTTTTTTTTTTTATTTGAAATAAAATTTTCTTCATAGAAAGTCACTGATCTTTTATTTTGGATAGCCAATGTTTCTGTCCCCTTTTCACTGCTCCAGCACTCTTTTATCAGGCCAACACCCATCGGTTCCCCAGCCAATCAGCGTTCTTCGCTGTTATTCTCAGTTACACAGGCAAATTGCCTCCTCCAGTTCGACCAATCAGCACACGACTTGCTATTGGTGGAAGCATTCCAAACTGTACAAAAAACCCTCATCATTGCACATACTGCTAGAATGGCTGGACGGGAGAGTAATGCCATTTTCACAAAGCAAACTTGCTGATGTCATGTGCCGCACGTTAAGGTAAGACCCTTATTTTCCTATACACCAGATGCAAGCCACTCTGGCTCGCTTGCTTCTACGGGGCTGTTCACCACACTCCCCCCTGATCTCATGATCACAAAACATACAGTCGCGAGCAGGTCGTTTTTGCCGGGTACTTCGCCGAGGGAGTGGAGCAACACAAGCTTCATCTTCAGATGAACTGTCATCAGGGGAGCTAGCAGGATGTACCACATTAGTATTTTGGATGCTAACAGTTGGGGAGTCGTCTTCCCCATTTGTGTCGTCTATAACAGATTCAGTATCAAGCGAGTGATCAGTGTCTCCTAACGGGGTTGATCTCAAATTTACTAACCGCTCACTCTCTTCAGAATCGCTGTCCTGTGTATCTGTCAGGACCGTTCCCATAAAGGGACGCAAGTCCTTCACATGACGTGGAACTCCATCAACGTGCACTGACTGTGGGCTATTAACCTGAGTCACGTGACCCATTCTAAATTTAGTCGTGCACCTCCCATGTGGAGTTTTCACCCAAACGACGTCTCCCACTTCATATGCTCCTTGAATATTCTGCGATTCAATGGGGGACATAGCCTCGATGCCCCATACACGGGTATGGTACCTATAAAGTGCATCAGCTGGTGCAGTGCTAGGCGAATGATTATCTTTAGGTGTAACGTTATACCAGTAAACCGCCTCCGGTATAGAGCACTGCTTTCTAGCTGCAATGGTTTTGATGCTTCGGTGACTTCTTTCTACTATACCATTCCTGGCAGGTGCATAGGCACACCAGAACCGCAACCGTACACCCCAATTACTCAAAAAATTCTTGAAATGTTTGCACGTGAATGCTGTGTCATTGTCTGTCAATATCTCGAGTGGTGGACCCCGTTCATACTACGCTAGTAGAATCTTGTTGATGTAGTGGACGCCATATTGCGAACCGAGAAGGCCCACAATCAATAATTGTCAGAAAGTGCTTACCACCATGGTGAGTGATGTCCATCGCTAACCTATTCCAGTTGTCCCTCACGTTCAGCTTTCCTTTTCGCCAATGCACTGGAGCCGGGTCAATGGTTTGGCACGCCTCACATTCCTTGACAACGGCTTTTACCACTTCTGACGATACTGAAGGGTCTATCAACCTAACAAAGTACAGGGTTTTCTTTTTATGCCCGGGTGTCCGTTTTTTCGGTGGACATTAGCCACTTGGCGTGCATCCACCTTGGTCGTTGCAGTGACGCATACTGAATGCACTGGCTCCGTTTCCTCCTTGTGTAGGTTTAACCACTTTTTTGGCACCCTGGTCAGCCGGTCTGCCAGATTCATGTTGGATTTGACCAGTATTATGTCCACCGTCAAGCCATATTCAGCTACAAGCTCGCGAAGTGTGTTCAGCCGTCTCCGCACTAACATTTCCCCAGACGCCTTCGTATTTATTCGAGCCTTGCCAGTTAAGGTGTTCGAAATCCACTGATGAACACATGCTGAATCAGTAAAAAGATGTATTGTTGACACCTGCCATTGAAGAGCCAAATTGACACCCTTTATCGTTGCGTCTAGCTCAGCCAAATTGATGTGCTTAGCATCTCCAACCGGGCGTAGCCACGATGCATCCTCAATAACATTTCCATCTACCTCTAATATGACACCTGTGGCTATGGAACTCGCATCCACCCATACATTCATTTCGCGGCCACTCACACACCAGTCTCCTCCTACTGGATCGGCCCCGCGTATTCTGGCTATGATGTCGTTTAACATGCA